TTATTTTACCCATGATGTTTAAAGTAAGATGAGAATGCTGAGTCTCTTGGTGTGATAACAATATCTGTTTGAGTCAGCATTTGGCATTTAGTGCTACAATCTAAAAAAAAAAAGGAAACAAGGCCAAAAACCATATTTTTTCAATTCACTCAAGGATCGCATTTTACTACAGATAACTGAACCAACAATATTTTTCATTTTTAGACAGATATTGTTGATCATAACTTTGCTGTTGAATGGATGCAAGATTTTGAAGTGTTTGAAGAGGCTTTGTCTCAAGATACAACTTACATGTCAAGCTTGACGAGGTCAATGAGTTTGGTCCTTGATGAGTTCTATCAGAATCTTCGGACTGTAGGTGTATCATCAATGACTGGGGCTGGTTTTGAGGAGTTCTTAAAGGCAGTAGACAATGCTGTTGTGGAGTTTGAGACTCAGTACAAACCAGGTAAAATACTTTGAGATATGTTAACCATTTTACTCCCTAGATCTTCTACCTGATAAGTTTTAAGTACTCTTATTGCCTGGACTCTTGATGATGTATGGATATTATAGGGAGAAGTTGCATTTTAATCATTTCTGGATGGAAAAGATGAACTGCAAAATACCATGTTTCACCTTGGTCTAAAGAGTGGGAGACCACTGACCTGAAAGTTGGTGCTGGATTCTGGGCTGAGAGGTCCAGTCTCAAGACCTTGTTGGGTGATGTTGGGGTGTTCTTGGGAAACCACTCTCCACTAAGAAATATGAATGGATGTGGGCAAACTGTCAGGAATCCCTGAGAAATTGCTGGGATGGTACCCTGCACTGGACTGTCTTCCTATCCCAGAGGAGTAGAAAAACTGCTTGTTGCTTCTCGCCACAGTGACTGATATAAGCTCTGCCTGGATGGGTCACTTGGCCCAAATAGAGACTTACCACTTTTTTGTAACTTGAAGTTAAGAAGGATGTTTTAGCATTTCCCATGAGTGTGGAACATTAAAAAAATCAGTCAGAGTCCCTCACAAGGTGGGATACTCAACAATGAAATTGAAAGATCTGGGGTTCAAATTATTTGGGTCATGCTCCAAGACGTGTTACATCTTTCCCTAAAACTGTAGTTGCCTGTTCATAGACATCTATTTCTTGTTATTTTTTTCTTGGAAACTAAACATGTGAGCCAGTGTCTTTAAAGAATTACTTGTCAGACTCTGAGAATGAAAGGGTTACAAGTGATGCTATCCACTTTATTTTACATTTCCTTCCATTTTCCTCAGAATATGAAAGGCTGAAAAAGGAAAAAGAAGAGAAGGCAAAAAAAGATAGAGAAGACCAACTAAAAAAGGTGCAGCAAGACTTGGGCAAAGGAGAGGCTGTTGCTATGGAAACAATCAAAACTGGTGCCCAGGCCATTGAGTCTGCACATGCAACTCCCTTCCATATCTCCCTTGGTGCTGATTTGGATAGTGATGATGATGATGAAAGAGGAGATGAGGAGGAATGGGATGAGGAGGAAATAAAGGAACATGAATCCTTCAAGAGATTCTTAGAAAAGGAGAAACAAAAGGGGCAACATGCTAAGAAGGAAGAAAGTGGCTAACTGTTCAAGTAAAATGCATTGAAAAAAAAAACAGATCTTGAGACTATATTTATCAGAAGAGCAAAAAAATGATGTTATTTTATGCACAATTATGTTATACACTAAAATTAATTAGTAGCCTGATAGGAAAGGAATTACCTCCATCTGTAAATCAGCCAATATACATGTCAATTGTGAATGATAGGTTTTTCAAATATTTTAGCTCACACAGCTGCTTAAAATGTGGCAACAGACATCGAACTGTTTTCAACTTCTTATTCCTCTTGGTTTCACTGCTCAAAGCTCCCACTAAACAGCTGGTCATTCAGGCAGCAGGCATTTTGGTCAGAGCCAGGGTAAATATATTATCAAGTTTTGGTGCAAGGCAGGTTATGCTGAACAAATTTTTATCTTAATCACTTTGACAAAATCGTTTCCTCGATTTGAAATGATTCATAAATCAATCTCCCTTGGTAAGACTTGTGGCTCATGTTAGCTATATACTTCCTGTAGAGTACATGTCTTGAAAGGGATGAGGTTATGGTGGTGTCTGGATGCATATGAAAGTAGTCCCGTTTAGACTAGGAGATTTGTAGTCTAAGGAGTATTATATTCGCGGAGTAAAAAGCCAAGAGAGGCTTGGGTCGGGTCGGGTACTCGGTTAAAGAACGCGACCAGACCCAAACTTCTCTCGTTTTGTCACTCCTCCGCCACTATATTGCTGTCTACTATTGCGCTTTCAGTTACTAACTTAGCGCCTGGAATAGGTTACCAAAGTATTTTTGAAGAACATCATTTACACCCCCTTGGCATGAGCTTAGTAAAAGTGAATGTCCTCGAAAAAGCCATACGAGGTAGTCTGAAATAAATTTATGCCTCCTGGCAAGGGGTATTTAATCTTCTTGGTTCTCAAGGACTGAAAAATTACACAACCGTTAGGGTTCTACAGGAGTACTTAAGATCTGCGGCGAGGCCAAATTTTTAGGCGAAACACCAACTTTATTGTAGAAAGTTGAGATAAAAAAAGAAACGCATTTCAAGGCCAAACGTTTGATAAAGGAAACATCCAAGTAAAAATATTTTTAACATCAAGTACAGAGTAAATACCATTACCAGTGTCAGCTGGATATAAGGATTACTAATCAGATCAAAGGAAACGAGCCATGAAATTGCATCTAAATTCCTTGTTGTTTCTGCTCTCTTTGATCCTATGCAGTAATTAACACAATCAAATTTAATTAGAATCATCGTCCGTTTCCTGTAGTGAGGCAATTAGTGAAGTAACCCTGGGCCCAAGTAACAATACAGGCATTGTTTACATACCATTGGATTAACAAAACTAAACTGACAGCTGTAGACATCTATCACAGACTGTGTTGATTTACTTAAATTTAATTTTCTCCTGGGTGGTCGAAGGCTGGGAGTCAAAAGAAAACGGAATGTCTGAGGTTAAAAATAGTTGCCTGGTAATAGAAATACAGTCTTTTGTGGTCACGTCCTCGTCATCGAGTTAAAGGCTTTTTTCTTGCGAAAGGGGTTAAGAAATTAATCTTTAGGGCGTGATCGCCTACCTGAAAAAAAGGGAAGAGATGAATCTGTCAGTTTTTTCAAGGGTAATTCAACTTCAGTGGCATCACCGCTCCACGGCCGTGTTTATATATCCTTGTTTGTGTGCATATGTTCCAATACTGTTTTTCCCTTTTAATTTTCACCCCCATAGGCCAGCTCGTGGAGGCGATACTGCATCATTCCAAGTTAAATTTTCCATTTTTGTTCATTTAAGGTTTGCTGGTTTAAGAAACCTGAACGCTATTCAAAAACAATCGAGTCTCATTTGCCAACTGATGTCAAGACCTCGCCGCGTGAGTTGATTATTTGTAACGTCTGCGCGCGAGGTCGTCGCGAATAGCTCGTGTCTCCCTCTTCTCGAGCGGGCATCTCCTTCCACCCACCTCGCGAGTCTCCCTTGTGATCACTCTGTTATGCCTTACCACTAACAGAAGCCCGTTCCTATCCTGAAAAACAAAATTAAAAAAGAAGGGAACTCAGTTTAGCCATGGCCTAGCCATAAAGTTTGAGACATGTCATGGTGTTTTGTAAACAAAAGCAAGAAGCAAGCTTCTCGATCTTTTACGAGATATTACGGCACCACTTGATCATAATCAGTAACTTTCTTGATGATACTTGATAATACACAGTAATACTCAGTAAACACTTCACAAGGCTCTTGAGAAAAAAGTGCATCTAGTTTGAATCGGTGAAGGTATATTTTTAATGATGAGGGTTGGGATGTTTTTCATTTTTCGGCGAGAAATTTGTGGTTTTCCTTAGCTTCGCTATGCTGTTGATTCTACTTCCATGGGTTGTACTATCAGTTCTGAGTGCAACTAAAAATATTTTGTCCAAATATGCTATTCGTCGCTGGATGAGATCGATATGTTACAATCTATGACGATTTTTTTTGTCAGTCTGCATGCCAGCGATACGGAAAATATATCGACTTAAACGGGTTTTTAAGGCCTCAGCTTCATGCTTTCCATTGACATATCCAATTGCCCCTCCCTCCCCCCTCATCCCTCCCTGGGAAAAGGCGCAGTCCCGGTTTTTTAATGGGAAAGCATTCAGCAGGAATTAAACATGAAAATACGCAAATTAGTGTCGAATGACAAGACTTCGAGAGAAGGATGCTTGGTTTTCTTACTGAGCTTTCGTTGCAATTCTTCAGTATAAAAATTGCTGCAGCTAAGTGAAGCCGAGGTCGTACTCAGGCCAATAACGAGAGCCATAAAGAACCGGAAGACAAAGGTCTCGACTGGTTTGCAGATTCAAAGGACGAACATGTTCTTCTGCAAATTCTTTGGAAGTGTCTGTTGGGAAGGACTGGCATCAAGGAAAATAAAGTTAAAGAAGTCCTTTCCTGACCAGCAAAAAATTTTTGAGGATGGCCCTCCCTCTTTCGAGCCCCGTCATAACACCCCCACCCCTCTTACCGCAACCGAAAACTTTCCCTGGAATGTTTCTGAAGTGTTAGCTTAAGTCTTTGCACAAAAACAGCGAGGTCCCCAGCATCGACGAGAATCGGGCGAAATTCGTGTCTCTGTTGCAAGGCCAACACAATAAGTTTGAAAACTGAGCCAATTCTGTATTAAGCAATTCAATGGGGTTGACCTTTGCTTAAGCAAATTTCATTTCGTGTAAAAGGATATCCAATTATTGACAAGAGGACTGCGGTGTACTAGAGTAGAAAAAAGTAATTAAGTGCTGTTAAATCATAAGTTTTGTAATTAGAAGTAATTACATGATCTTAAACGTTTTATATTTCATAATTAAAATGGTGCGGTGATACATAAATACAATCATTGAAATTTATTTGCATTTTTGTCACGTGATAGCGGCGACGGTTCCCTTGGTGACAGTCTTCGTCCTAAACACAGTCCTCTGAACACCAAGATGGCGGCGGTGGCTGCTGTAATCAGGGCAGAAACAACGGGTTCTGTAGCCTCAAGCTTTGAGCAAACTCTTCCCAAAGCAAAAGAAAAACAAAAAGAAAAGGTTAAGGAAACCTCAGATCCTCTCAAAGTCCTAGATCCTGTAAGAAAAAAGCTCACATCAGTCGAAGCTCAACGTGTGATAGCAGTTGTTGATGACTCGATCAAGAGATTGGAATTAGTCTCCCTGTTGCCATATATCATCGAAAACTTAAACCGTTTTTCGGTCGTCCTTGGATCCGATCTGGTACAAGTTTTGGAAGAGCATGATCGCATTCAGTCGTCTTACCAAACAGCAATTTCTAAATTCTCACTCGACCAAAGGCGCAGTCGATCGGCTACTCCGACGGCATCGCACGTTTCATCGCGTCGCTCCAGTGAAGCTTCGCAAGCTATATCAGAGGACGAACAGGGAATACCTAGCGTATCAGGTACTTTGCCGGAGAGCAGGGCAAGTTCTGCTGGCAGCAGGAAATCCTTCACCCAGAAACCAAGTCAACTGAGCCCGCTGCAAACCAGCAACGATCAAAGTGTGGACCTCAAAGTTGTCGATGCCCTTAGCACCCAGATGAAGTATTCTGTTAAAACCATTCTCAGGTTGTTTGCCTCAAATCCAGCCGCCGTAAACGCACTTAAAGATCTGAGAAACGAGCGATCGGTGGAAGGAAATACAATGATCGACGAAATGACCACGTTGAGGGCGATCCTATTTGAGCGATTATTGACAACACCAAGCGAAGAGAAAGAGAGGAAACAGTATTTGAAACAGATTGTCGCTAGAGAAATGAAATCCAGTGAGACAGGCAGAAAACTTCAGGATGAACTGAAAAGAGCCATTGATGATAAAGAAAACGAGGTATACTGGACATGACTTCTGTAACAATTCTTAACTATTTTAAATCATGGTATTCGAACCCTATATACTTTCTCCCCGCTCAGTTCTACAAACAGGAGAGATCACACACCAATCACTGAACTTAATATTTATTTTTTTAGATTTCCAAGAGAAATGACATCATTCGTAGACTGAAAAATGACATCTACAATGTAGAGAAAAATGCGGAAGAGCAAAATCGTAGGGTCATTACCGAGGCAGCCAAGCAAGATGCATCAGAAATGAAGAATTCTGACAGCAAGAAAAGCAAACTGCAACAAGAAAGCATAGAGTTAAAAAAGAAACTTGAAAGCGACACACTCACTCATAGAGAGAGTGAGCTGGCTTTGAGAAAGGTAAGCGTTAGTGGTTAATTACTACAAGAGCTCATCCTAGTGTTGATTGTATGAAGAAATTTACAGTATGGCTCCCTTCTGATGCCCTGGATGTGATGCCAATCCATTGCAGGAACTCCCTCAGTCAACACCATATTAGTCCTATGGTATAAATATTCTCCGCACTGTTTGTTAATGTACACCTCCCATGGTAATGATGAGGACAATTTGTTAAAAAATCAAGAGGTTCTTCAGTTAGTGATCATTTCCAAAAATCTCATGACCTTTATTGTTGATATAGTGGTGATACTAAAAAGAGAAATTAGATGTCAGGCACTCTTAGGGTTTCAAGAGTTATTATTTTATAATAGAGGTCTAAACATCCATTCTAAACCAACCAAAATTGCAAGTACCATTAACCCTCCCTCTCTAATAGGCCTATCCTTACCCTTACCCTTACCCCCCACCCCTCAAAAAAAAACAAGCAAACTCCGCAAATAGCATTAGTATAGTCATTCATTTAGGCTAGGTTATGTTTCATCTTAAAATAGCTTTGCGACTTATATTACTAGATCTAGGACTATACTATTAGGTCTAGGACTTGGTTTTCAACCAAAGAAATGCTTACTGTTACATGTTTCCTAAAATCAGAACAACAGTTCAGTTGGGGGGGGGGGGAGTTTCAAAGTTTTGACTTGAGTTTTGATTCTTGGTTCTTCTAATTCCCAGAAATTGATAGGCCCTCCCACCTCCGAAGAGGCTTATAACATTTACAATAAGTTTACCTAAAGAAATATTCTATCTACAGCGAAAGTACAAGATTGAAACTGAAGTTGAGAATTGGATACAGAAGTATGATACAGATATGGGAGAAAGACAAGTAAGACTTATATATATATTTTTTTTCACTCAAGAGAATAGCAAAGAGAAAAGTCACAGGCTAGGCAGCTTTGTATGAACTTTCCATGCGAGATTTTTAGAGAGTTTGATACAGTTGAGGCAGCTGATGATTGATTAAGGTCGATAGAATGTTGTAGCAAATTTTTAGAGCCGATTACGACGTAACAAGCGTCAGCCCTCCGTTGAAGCACAGAGAACAGCCATGGCACTTAATTGAGAAACTATTTTTGAATCTTTCCGCTAAATTTTTGCACTCTGCAGGATGAATTTGATGCCCTAGACACGATCTACACGGAGGAGAAAAGGCAGCTAAATGAACTCGAGGAGCGTTTCAAGACCCTGGAGAAAGAGTACTTGGAAATCGTGGAAGCGAGAAGAATTGCAAAAGAGAAGGCCGAAGCTGCTGAAAGAGAGCTGAATTTGAAAATACGAGCGGCGAGATTAATACAGTCTCTTTGGCGAGCGCATAGAGCCAGAAAACAGCTCAACAAAAAGAAAAAGGGAAAGAAAGGCAAAAAAGGAAAGAAAAGTGGAGGAAAGAAGAAAAAAAGATAAACTTCTCCATGAGGTTGAACAAAACAAAAGCCATCTTATGTAAGAAAAGCCTACAGAACGCTGAACTAAAGTTAGCCGAGTAGATTTCTCCTATTATCCAACTGCTCTTCTTTCTGTTGAGTCTTTCTGCCCGTTTCTCATGAGGCGGGAAAAGCAAAACGGATACAGAGGCGTAGCGCGCGCAGCCGACTGGTTAAACATGTTTTTTTTTACAGTCCAAAATAATCAATTGTTCAATATCGCAGGATATTTGTGCTCTATTCGCGCGTTATTTGTACTTTACTTTGTGCAGTTGGATAATAACTATGACTACTCGCTCCTCCGATCCAAAACTATGAATTTTTATTGGCAGCCTTGTACGTCTTTTACATGGAATGTGAGCTCTATAGAGAGCCGCTGCTCTGGAAATGAGCCTACTCCTCTCTTGAAGAGTCGTCCCGGGGAAGAAAGAAGACAACTGTAGAGAGCGGCGAGATCCTAGCCCGCATATAATGTCGGGAACTTGCTTAACTCTAGTAAAATTGGTTTTCTTATGACAAATACGAACTTGCGAAAAATCGTCAAGTTTATTGCTCGTTAATTTTAAAGAGGGGGCATGGAGGTTCATTAAAAACCTTAAAAGCGTAGTAAAAATCATCCAAAACCGCAAAAAAAATCGATCAAAACCGAAAACCGCGTTCAAACCGTCGTAACCGATTAACTTTCACGACCCAGTTATCAAAATCCTAATCGATCCGATACAGTCAGTGACAAGTGGAGCATCATGACGGAGGTTTCGCGGCTATTCGAGATCAGTGGAAGCGCATAATTGCCGCTCAGATCGAGGTGAAACCGGAACCCAAATAGGATAAAAAACTTCTTTTAAAAAAGCTAAAATCTCGAAACCGAAAACCCCAATGCCCCCCCCTCTATAAAAGTCACCGTAAGATTTGTGCAAATATTGTAAATATGTAATTAAGGACGAACATTTACGGCGAAAAACTGATTTTTTTGTTCAGAAGAAACTTTTGTACAGGTTAGTTGTGTTACACTTTTAATGGGAATTCTTGTCAGTGATGTAACTTAAATTATTATCCACCTAACCCATGTTACTTGCGCTATACAACGCTGGGGAACAAAAACTGTGGTCCTCCTTTAGAATGTTTTTCTTTGGTCCGAGACAGTGTGGGAGTAAATAAAGAAAGTGTCCTATAACAGTTGTGTCTATTTGAATATTCATTAAAAGTCTCCCTTTCCTGACTCCTTTCTGAGCTGTGCAGTAAAAGACTCCTCGTTCCAAGTCCTTACGGATTTTATCCTATTTAGTCGGCGAGTGTACGAGTCCAAGGTCCAGTTGTATAAAGGCCAGATTACACTATCCAACAGATAAATCACTGTCCAGCGGATAATTGTTAAATAACTACTGCGCCATCCACCGCATAGAGATTTACCCACTGGATTGCGTAACCATGCTTCGAACAACCGGGGCCAGAATGTTTGTCAGAGTTTGCCGGCGCAGTTTGATGTTCCATTTTTGACATGATCATCTTATGAGGTAATTCTTGTTTCTACTTTTTACGGGTTTTTTGCCACGCCGACGCGACTTTCAGCATCCATTGTTCACCTACATAACAAATAACACGTTTCAGGCACGCATACCATACATATTACCTGATCACGTACGATGAGTTCTTCGCTTACCTTTTTCGTTACAACGGAAGTCACACAAGTAGACAAATAAGTTTTAAAGGAAGTCCATACTCGTGGATGATACAAGCAAAATCTTGAACGTAAGGTAATTGTCGGCCTTGTCAAGAGAGAGAATGCAGGATGACTTTCATCAAAGTGCATTGATACCCGCAAAAGATTAGGAGCTTTAAGGAACTATTCATATCCTTGGATATCACGCAGTACTTGAGAAGCGTTGCGTGACAACCTAATGAACGCGAATGCCTCAAGAGTATAGAGGTTTGTGTACCTTGAATTCAGTGGTTGGTGTCCTGGATCGGCTCTCAATACAAATCTTAAGGTACATTTCTTCTACACTGTTTTAAAAAACAAGTCCTGAATCATCAAGCATAACAAGAATGAAATCTGAAAGGTCACAATATGCAAAAACGAACGACTTCGAAGTGTAGCGTAATTTCCGCTAAAAATAACGAGATTATGACGACAAGGATAGAGACAACTAAAAAATCAACTTATTTATGAAACAAAATAAGCAGGTTAAGACTTGAATCTGCAGACACAGGCCGGAGGAAACTAATATCTTTAATAAGAGCACGGGGAAAATCCTTTTGACGTGATCCTATTAATACTTTGTAACAATGTAAACTCTGATGCACGAAAAATTGAAAAAGTTGTGTGAAAGCCCTTCCTAACTGTTTCGATGGGGCTTACGTTAGTCTCGCGAGCTGGGAAATGCGATGCGCGCGCGTTAACTCTCGCGGTCTCGGGTAGCTCGCAATAAAAATGACAAAAACAAAACAAAACAACAATGAAAAAAGCCGTAAGATCTGATACTAGTATATCATTTTGCTAATTACATAAAAATCACTTTACAACAAACCCATTAATTTGTTATTCCACGAAGGATCTGTTTTCGTTATTTAGGGCTGTCAAAAAAGTTCACAACAGCCACTTGGGCCAGCTGGGAAATTACGCAGTTCTCAAATGTCGTGTCTTCTCGTTGTTGACCTTTTCAATCTCGTGGTCATTAGGCATATAAAGATTTAAATAATCGACGCTCAAAGCTGCATTTTTATGCAGATGTTGGTCCATTGTGAGTTTTAAGGCGGCAGCGCGTGAAGCACTCATTTTAAAAACCAATCAAAACTTTGAATGTACATTTTACCTGACAGGTACCGACGGACCTAATGAAGCATATCTCTTCTGTCAACTGTTCCATATTTATATGGGTCTCTTCACACGCATTTCCCATTTGATTTCCGTCCTGGCTCGTATTAGCGGGTAATAGTACTTGTGCTGATACTGGACGGTAATAAACAAGCCAAAAGGATATAAACTTCTGCGGCAATTAATTTGTTATCAACTCTTCGTTCGACGAACGTGTCAAGGTGGAAGATCACGCGGCAATTCAGTCCAGTTCGATAAACTACCGTCGAGTCCTGACTAGAGTAAAACGTGCTGTGATGGAACTTGAACTCGATAGTATTCAAATCAGGGAAGAAAAAGGCCCCAAACATCGCAATGGAAGGGCATTTTCACGAAAGATGAAACGGCGAAGATTGGTGGACAAGAGAGGACGAATTCATGTGAATTACGTGAACGTACCTGATCGTGGGCAACTGTATTATCTTTCAGACCACTTCACAACTTTAATCGAAGCTCAGTGGAGATACGTTATTCTCATTTTCTCGCTGTCTTTTATAGTTAGCTGGCTGGTGTTTGGAACGATCTGGTGGGGAATTTACAGCTACCGCAAGAAATACCACGACATCGAATGTATTGAGAAAGTTGACTCGTGGACTTCAGCGTTCTTGTTCTCGTTAGAGACGCAAACAACGATTGGTTATGGAGGCCGACAAGTCACACCGCACTGTCCGGAAGGAGTAATTTGTTTGTTAATACAATGTATCATTGGTTTGTTAATCTCCTCCACAATGCTAGGTCTCATATTTGCCAAACTTTCGCGCCCTCACAAGCGAAGATGCACTATTCTATTTTCACGTCACGCTGTTATAGGTCCGCGTAATGGCAAACTTTACTTAATGATGAGAATTGCGGATTTGCGAAAAAGACAGCTCATAGAGTCACACATTCGTGTTTTTCTTATCGATCGATACGTCTCGCGAGAGAAAGAAAAAATTTGTTGTTTTAGGCAGCCTCTTTCAATAACTTGTGACAAGGACGATGACGATGACGAAAAAATATTTTTATTTGCACCAGTAGTTCTGCTGCACGAAATTAATGAACAGAGCCCCTTTTACGATTATTCGCCCGATGATTTACTTTTAAAGGATTTCGAAATTGTTGTACTTTTGGAAGGGATCGTTGAACCTACAGGAATGACTATGCAAGCACGAACATCTTACGTGGGCGATGAAATTCATTGGGGACATTTATTTGTTGACATCATGGAGTATAGAGACGGTGGCTACTATGACATTGACATCTCGCGGTTTCACGAAACTTTTGAGGTGGAACTCCCGCGAGGGACTGCTAGAGAGTTTTACGAGAGAAGACTTGAAGAGAACGATGAAGAATGTTCCCAGTCAAATTCGCAACAGCATGAAATGAAGGAATTGGAAAACACCAACGAAACGGACGCAGCCCCGCGCAACGATCGCAGTGGGGTAGCCTTGATTCCGAACGGAGACGTGGGAAAGCAAGACGGAGTGACTAAATTATGACCACTTGTTTTGGGCTGGTAACTCATTCGTGAATGGAGTGAGATTGAAAAAAGCGAACAGTCCAGTCATAATTGAAAGCCCTGCTGTTTCCATAGGAAACAACTCTTTTTTCAGCTCTACAAGAGTCCACCATTTGTATTCAAAACGCATAAAAAGTTCTACGGTCATTTAATCTTTTTTGTCCCTTGACAATTGATTGGTTTTCAAGCAGAGATCTTTTGATCTTCTCGATCAATTTTGGTCATGTTTTTTTTTTAATAGCTCCGTTGTACCTAATTGAGCAGCATTTAGTTTCCAACGCACATTTTTAAGTGGTCAAGCCTGTGTTTTGTATTAGGCCTTCTCACAATGTGCCGGAAAAATTGGATTTGCATCATCATTTTTTTTCAAACTGTTAAGTTTAAGAGTTGTTGACTCAGTTATGACGAAATACTCATTCTTGTTTTTCCAATGATTCCGTTATCGCTTATTACGAGTTACAAATAGGTTGGCTTTTAAAATTAAACGGAACATTTTTTACCATTTTCTGTAAAACAAAGGTGATCGATAAAAAAGTGGGTTGAAACATTTTTAGTTTTTATTACGAAGACCAGATGGTTAAGTTCTGACGCATACAAATGTTTTGAAAAGAAAACAATTATTTTTGTCAAACAAACTGTTGTTGGAATATTTGAATGTTAATATGCGTGTCTTTTTCCTTCTTAAAGAGTAGTCCTTTTAGACCAAGTGGTTTAGTGGTTTGTCGAAAATAAAACCGAGAAAAAAATTGTTTTTCAGTTTTGTTCTCGATATTTCTACTTGTTTGCAATCTCTGCCCGTTCAGCCTCGGGTGATATTTAGGCATTGTTTTGTAGTTTCCACACAAAAATAATTTACCTTCTCTATGCATTCCTTATTGGTGATAATAGGGCAATTTGCTGTCGGCGGATAGTCGATATTGGCAATCCTAAAGTCTCGTTATTTTTATGCAAACAAAAGTTCTTTTGACAGTGATCCTTAAACAGGCCTTCCGGCGATAATCCGAAGTTGCCAAGAGTTAGCCCCTTTGTGCCTCACAATTATCTCCGAATACCATTTAATTCTTTTAAACAGCGGTTTAACCTATGACTTGAAAGTGGTCGATCATAGAATAAGCACATCACGCGATTTTTTTTAACCAAACGAACCGTGTGGCCAGTATCAAAATTGACTTCGCGTGATTTAACTCAAAATGCGATATTACATCATTCGCCCCAGCAGGAGTTTTCACGCGATCCAAGTGATTAAATATGTTAATATTTTCTCTAGTTGGTAGATAGAGATAGCTATGACGCTTTGATGAAGTTGTATCTCCTTAGAATACTGAAATTCGTCTATGATTTATTTGTAAAGGCAGGCATGCAGCAAGCGCCTATAATTGTTGTTATGGACGAAACTACTCGTCAAGGACCTTGTATTGAAAAACACTTGTGCTGTACAAGCGGGGTAATAATACTTCGTTTCCAGGGAAACACAATAACAGATTGAGAAACAACACTTTCGAAACATCGGACTTAAAAGTTGCATCTAGCAACATCGGGATAACATGTTGAGACTCGTAACAAATCAAAACATGTCCGTCACGGTTCATTAACGACTACGATTGTCATGCAGGCTTATATCACCCTTCGAATGATACAGCTGCATGAATCATGAGTGCAATTTTCCATAATTGCCGTCATTGTCAGCTAAATCAACATAGGAAAAATTGTCTTCCTTTCACGAGTGTGACACGAACAATACACGCGTGACATTATGCCTCTCGATTACTCGCGCGGAACGCTATTCGTGGTTCTGTTACGTAAATCCGGGGCCGTCCACAATCGGCTTCTTTACATGTAAGTACTTCGACATGTCTACACGTCTTAAAACATTTTTTTACTACCGGTTGGTTGATCAGAACGAGAATGATCTAGCCATTGTTGACACTATTCGGAAAAATTTCCGCACAGCCCCATACTTAATTATGCATATACATCTTACTGGTGATACACTGAATAATAAAGCCCCATATATGGATGTATAATGATGTATGGGGCTGTGCGGAAATTTTGCCCACTATTCTATCAATGTGTGGTTATAATTTGTTTTGTTTTTCATTCCGCTTTGACCTTCTTCACAGTTGGACGATGATTCACGTGAAACATTTAGCTTTATCACATGATCAACCACCACATCATATAATTGTCATAGGAAATAGTCAGGTTAAAGATAAAATAAACAATCAAATCGAGGGTTTTGGAAGAAAATGGAAGGGTGGTTGCCAAGGGGCATAATGTCCGAAAATATCTCTGCGGTTCGTAAGGAAGCAGGGTATTTATAATAGATAAAGGTGGTAAGTTTCTAGAGAAACTGTGGTGCTGCGTCGGTGGGAGAGTATAACAGGGTCATTTAGTGTTAGCCCCTTGTCAGCCCTTCGCTCTGACGAAGGGCTAACGATGGAAACGTCAGCCTTTTTAACTGTTTACGATAGCCAATTTACGTTATCAACTCAGTTGATAACACTAAATTACCCTATTCGTGATGGGGGTGTTTATTAAAATTTTCTACTCCTGGATAATTTTATGATCACCGCATTGAACAATGTTTGTTTGCTGAATCTCCGCCAGAACTTTTTTCAACTAAAAGCCGACAAGCAAAAAGAAAAATGATCTAATGACTGCTAATCAGAGCAACTCAAACTGATAAGGATCAAAAGAAACTAATGAATTCATGTAGGGGCGGACTAACACGAGTGTCTAAGTCGAGGGTGGTTTTAGTCACGTTAATTACACGTTAAATCGGTTGAAAAGGAGGCCCGGTTTCCAGATCAATCACGAAGCGAAGCAATCCTTTCTAACATCTAACACGAGAATAGACATGCTCCATGATCCACTGAGTCGTGCGCAGTCCGTCAGTATTGTTCAGTGGTCAGCAGACAACTTCGCAATAACTTCCAGTTCAGGCTTTCAATGCGGATAGTTCTAAAATAAAGAGCAAATTTAAAGGTAACCGCTAAATTTTCACCCAAACTCGCAGGTAACCGCTTAATTTTCACCCAAACTTGAAGGTAACCACTGGAAATCCACCCACAACTCACCTCCAAGGCAACTAAAGACAGCTGGTTCCGGTATGGGCATACGCACGAACCTGCAATGCTGGAATTTACCACGTTTTCCACAAGCTAATTTACTAAGAAAGGAAGATTCGCAAATAGTAGGTTACCCACGAGAGCTAACGGACCCAAAAAGCTCGAAAAATAAGTACCTTAATCTGCTGCTTGCACTTTCAATTATTATGCATTCTTAGGGATAAATGTTCAACAACTGAGAGAAATGCATGGAAAAGTCGAAATCATCTGTAAAGACCAAAGAAAGCCTTGAGGCTAAGTTGCATTTTGTTTGACATTAATTTGCAAGGGCAATCATTCACATTCCAAGACGAGAAAATAAGTAAAAAAAGTTTAATCAATTTTAGACTGAATGTCTGGTCTGATTGTCTAGTGAAGACGAGAAAACGCTGCTACCAATCTCTCTACATTACCACTACTAAAACAGCGCGCGATGATAGCTTATGTGACAACTTTTCACATATAAAACAACCTCCACCATTTGCTACTCTACAACAATCACTACACTATACTTGATGACGAGTACACAGACCTTTGTGACAAATGCTTTGCCTTTAAATTGTACAGGGTGACGCAGAAATCTTTCACAAAATGGTATGTAAACAGAAAACCTTAATCAAATAAACTTTGCAGTCGAAAAGTCCTCAGTTGTCCTACTCCTTTCTTTTGTTTCCTTTGGTATTTTTCTAAGAACGATTCAATTTTTCCGCATATTTTGCATAACAGCAATCTTCTGTGCCTAATGTTTTCCTCTTAAATCATACGCGGGAAATTGGTGTAAAGACTGACAGAAAATAATCCAATTACACATGACCGACTTTGACCACTGCGGTCACTTTTTCTGAGCACTGATTCTTCCCAATATGAAGGAGAGAAAGCACTTCATGGACTGACAAAACACACGTTTCTAGGCCTCTTCCTGTTGTTTCTGCCTGTAATACTCTCTTGGCGAACACCTTCGCGTTTCAACCACATGTATGTCATTCAATCTAGAAAAATCGGCATGGTAGAAGCCTTTCTCACTGAATTGAGACTTCTCCAGAGTGTTACAGAAGTCATAGCCCCACAAGATTTCACTGCTGAGGTAAGAAGACTTAGGCTGTGTGTTCAGCCCGGTCGCTTCAACCACTCCATCCAGTACTACCACAACTTCGAAATCTGAGCGCTGGAGCATTTGAGGTGTGACGTCATAAAAGGGACTGTTCTCGTCAATTATGTGGATGACTACTAGAGGCAAGAGTAAAAACAGTTTATTCCTGAAGTCGTTGTCAGGGTCACGCCAATCGTAGCACACTTTAAGATCCTCTTGGTGAAACGGGATTTCTTTTCCTTCTTTAGTAGTGTGAGTTCTGAATAGCTGCATTCGGACAGATGCGTCAACAATTTGACTCTTTCTCACGTCTCCAATTCGAAGCATCAGACACATTTTTCCATCTCTCGGGGCTATAACAGCATACTCCGAGAACATAACAGTCTTCCCCCGCTCTCGTGGTCTCGAGAGCTTGGCAAATGTCAGTCCTAGCATGAACGCGTCTATAAGTAATCCCACAAGGGTCTGAAGTTGCAGGACTATGACTGCCTCAGGGCATTTTGTTGTGATTGCTTTCTGCCCATAACCAATTGTTTCTTGAGTTTCAACAGAGAAAAGATAAGCAGCTGTAAAGCTTCTAACCTGTAAGAATAAATTAAGTTTAGAGTTTTTGAAAGCATTTAAAAATTTACTCTACTTTTTTCATAAGTCTCTATTCACTAATACCACCTTTTAACCCATTAACTTCCATAAGTGACTAAGGAAGATTTTCTCCTTACAATATCAATACAATATCAAGCAGAAAAGTGATGAGAATAAAGAAAAAGATCAATTTGGGGATTATTAGTTGACCCAAAACTAACTTCTCTGAACAAACATTATAAGAATTGTATGATTGACAATAAGGAGAAGTACAAATTTGATCTGGGAGTTAAAGGGTTAACCACTTAGAGACACTGTTCTTGAGTATATAAACAATATAAGAAAAAGAGAATTCAAATAAACTGTATGAAAGGGAGTAAATTTGGTGTAATAATAAAAAAAATGTTTCTTCTTCTGGTCACAACTGTGGAACAAAGAAAAACCTACGACTCCCCGTGAGGGATGAGCCCCAGACCTCCAGATTCTGCTCCCCTGTGCTTTACTACTGAGCCACAGAGAACTATGTGAGTTACTAAGCCATTGTGAGGGTTATAAGTGATACACATCTTGCATACACTACTGCTATGATTGGCAATTTTGAAAGCTTTGCAAGCATAAGTAAGAATTAAAAAAGGTGGTAATTTGATTAAAATCCCAATTGACAGCAGAGGAGTTGATTCCTGTACTTTAAAGGAAAAAATCAGATTGAGTGTCCAGATGAAGGATTTAATCATAGAGGCTGTGAAATTCTGATCCAGCTCCCTTTAGAATATATTCATGATTACATACATCTCAGGCAATCACCATCATTTGGCCAAGTAACATTTTTCATATAAAAATAATTTTAAAATATGCCCATAACTGAGTTTTTCTAAACATATCTTGGACAATAGATATCTAAGGTGCAACACAGATACTGAGATCTTTGAAAGAAACAACAGTAAAAGCACCCCTTGAGTCAAGTACTTTCCAGGACAGTGCCTCTAATGTTTTTCATTCATTACCCTCTGCTGCAAGGAACTCTGTAGTTTTTAGTGATATTAAAACTAAAGTGAAGAAATACCTTATAAATAGGGCAAATGCACGTTTAATTTCTTGATCTGTCCATATTCTAGATTACTTTATTTTTTTATTTATTTATTTTAAACAAATAAATAATTATTTACTTTTTAACCCTTTAACTCCCATGAGTGACCAAGACAGAATTTCTCCTCACAATATCAATACAATACCAAGCAGACGAGTGATGAGAATAAAGAAAAATATAAATTAAGGGATCATTAGTTGATCCAATACCAAATTCTCCAAACTAGCATTACAAGAACTATATGGCAGACAGTAAGGAGAAATACTAATGAGATCTTGGGAGTTAAAGGGTTAATATTAACACAAATTTTTACAAATGAAGAGCCACCTTTCAGTGGAAATACTGTAATAGTGTCATAATTATCATTATTACTATTATTAGAAATTCAAAGATTTAAGCTGTGCAATTTTAATCCAGCTCCAAAAACCACAATCACAACTTTTCCTCAAACAATTTGTCAACTATTTATGATAACAAATTACAATAACCATCATAATAATTGTGAATAAGAGCAAGAGCAATTATTGTGTAACCAACTTATTTTGAACACATGCTGAAAAATTTTTAAAACCTAATAATTTGCTGGCTTTCTTTCTTTTGCACCATTATAACAAAGGAGAGAAACTCTAGAAAAAAGGTTCAAAAATTGTTGGAAAAGTTTCTTCCTCTTCCATTCCTATTTGTCGCAGAAATTGTCCATGGAAAATTCCAATGAAGAATGGGGGTGCAAGGAAATTTTTTTTGGCAGAAAACAAATTGACCTGGAATCTGAGGTAGGTAGGTCTTTATAATTAACTGCTGTCAACATAAGTTGAGAATATTCGCCTTTTTGTACAGTTTTTTTAGACTGAGTGCGGTAAAACCAGAACCAAAGCACTCATAATAGCCCATCAGAACTGAGGAAATATAACATGGCACCCATCAAAACTTGAAGTAAAAACAAGCAAACCACCTAAAGCGTGGGGAAAAGAAAAATGACAGAATTGCACTTGGCTGAAGCTTTGAATCTGATTGGTTGATAGAAGGGCACAAATTTCTTGGACCATTCACAGGGCACACAGCATTCACAGCAATCCCAATCCCAAATTACTCATGACCTCAATTGCCTAAGATAAAACTAGCAATGCCTGTTCAATGATTTTGTTAACTTGGTTATTGTCCTTGAGAGGTTGGCTTGCTGCTTTGGTGATTAAATACTTAAAACTATGAATGAGTAGCAGAGTAACTTGGGACATGAACATTCCACCCAAATTTTGGTGAAGTTAGGAAAAGCTCTAAACTCACTGAAAACTGGCTTGAGACTTTTGCTGTGATAGGTAAAGGCAGTTGGCAGTTTTAAAAGAAAAAGCCCCATAAAAATAGCATGGCAGAAAATAACTTACAGAACTTGTTTGAAATCGAGACTTAGGCCCACTCCTTCTTCGACAGAAGAGCCTCCTGTCCAACCCAATCCCCCTCCCCCCTCTCCCCTCCCGTTGTCAAAAAAATAATACAAAGCGATGGATATAACCATGTTCTTCATGTTATTATTGTGACTGTCATGGGTGACTAGATCTAACGGAAAACTTGAACAATTGTGCTTTACATACCTTCTCAATGCAGATTGTTGAGCCCCTCACATACGCTATCAGCCACCAAATGAAACCAAAAACAACCCATGAGATGATGTAGCTGGATATAAATATAAATATGACCCATTTCCAGCGCAAATCTATCATAGTCGTAAATATGTCTGCAAGATAAAGTCTTGTTTTACGAGGAACATTCTTTGCAAGAACTTTCAGCTCACCAGACTTGTTGACTAAACGGCGTTTGTCGGTATCCAGCAAAATTTTGCCTTCAGTTTCACCGCGAAGCGAAGCGGAGTTGATCGACGAGGCAGATGTAGGAACGCCAATGTGTTCTTCGATCACAGCTCGAGTTCCGACGTTAACTGTAGTTGTGGGCTCTGTTTCCTCGTCTCGATCACTTTGGAAGCTGTCATTCACAAGATATTCTTTTGATATGCCAGGATCCATGTCTTGTTTGGAGGTGACCCTTCACATAAAAACCTTGTGTACACTAGGAAGTAAAATGTTGCGTACGACTGGAACAAGTTTATTTTCCGTGTGGAGAGAGGGCATGGGTCGAGTGAATTGATCATCTGCATAAAAAGTGTAAGTTCCGCGAATTTTAATTTTTTACGACATTATGGATCAAACACTTACAAATATGGAAACAAAGAGGACCTAAATCTCAGACGATCTTAGCCATTGTACTGTGCGGAGTTGGCATTCGTAACTTTAGCACCACCGGCTGAGCTGTTGATCATTAAAAACGCAAACTAATTGCACAAATAATTAAAGGCGGACCAGATGAAAGCGGGCTAGTTAATTAAACGCGAACTACTTAAATGCGGGTTAGTTAAATGCGAACTAGTTAAGCTCAGACATGTTAAACGTAGGCTAGTTAAACACAGACTAGTTAAACACAGACTAGTTAAACGCTGACCAGTCCAACGCAGAGTAGTTAAACACAGAATAGTTAAATGCGGACAAGTTGAACGCGAACTAGTTAAGCACGGACCGGTTAAACAGGGACTAGTTAAATGTGGACTAGTGAAACGCGGACAAATGAAACGCGGACTAGTTACACACGGACAAGTGAAACGCGGACTAATGAAACGCGGACTAGTTAAGCGCAGACTAGTTAAACGCAGACTAGTTAAATGCAGACTAGTTAAACGCGGACCAGTAAAACGCGGACTAGTAAAATGAAGACCAGGTGAACGCGGGGTAGTTAACCCTTCAACTCCCATAAGTGATCAACGTGAAACTTCTTCCTAAAGAAGAATGGTAAAATGTGGACAGGTTGAACGCGAGCCAGTCAAACGGGAACTAGTTGAACGTGGACTATTGAAACGTGGAACAGTTAAACGCGGATTACATTAGTAAACACGGACTAGTGAAACGGGGGCTAGTTAAACGCGGATCACTTAAACGCGGATCACTTAAACGCGGACTAGTTAAACGCGAAGTAGCTAAACGCAGACTAGTGAAACGCGAAGTAGTTAAACGCGGACTAGTTAAACGTGAAGTAGTTAAACGCGGACAAGTTAAACGCGAAGTAGCTAAACGCGGACTAGTTAAACGCGAAGTAGCTAAACGCGGACAAGTTAAACGCGAAGCAGCTAAACGCAGACTAGTTAAACGCGAAGTAGTTAAACGCAGACAAGTTAAACGCGAAGTAGTTAAACGCGGACTAGTTAAACGCAGACTAGCAAAATGCGGACCAGTTGAACGCGGAATAGTTAGACGCAGAATAATAAAATGCGGACCAGTTGAACGCGAAGTAGTTAAACACGGACTGGTTAAACGTGGACTAGTTTAACGCGAACTAGTGAAACGTGGAATAGTCTAACGCGGACTATTGAAACGCGGACTGACTAAACACGAACCAGTTAAACGTTGACCAGTCAAATGCAGACTAGTTAAGCGCGGACTAGTTAAACGCGGACATGTAAAATGTGGACCAGTTAAACGCGGACAAGTTAAACGCAGAATAGCTAAACGCGAACTAGTTATATGCGGACTAGTTAAACGCAGACTAGTTAATCGTGGCCCTATTTAACGCACACTTGTTAAAAGCGGACTAGTTAAACGCGGACTGGTAAAATGAGGACTAGTAAAACACGGACTAGTATAATGCGGACTAGTAAAGTGTGGACTAGTTTAAAGCGGACCAGTTAAACGCAAACTAGTTAAACACGGACTAGTCAAATGTGGACTAGTAAAATGTGGACTGGTTAAACGCGGACTAGTTAAATGCGGACAAGTAAAATGTGGACTAGTGTTAAATGATAAAATTACAATTATAGTTAATCTACAATATCGTAAGGGTTTCCTGTATTGGTGTCGGAAAGAAAAGGAATGGAAATATTATATTATTTTAAGTCATTTAATATAAGTTATAAAAAGGGCAGGTTGATTACTTCGTACTCCTTCTTGGTGGTCTTATCTTAAAGGTTGAGTTTCATCACGTTCTTCTTGTGAGTTTGGCCACGTTCTCCTGGTGAGTTTAATCACGTTCTCTTCGTTGTGATCGTGAGGTTGACATGGATCTCGTGATAAGCCATGCTCTTAAATAAGTTAATTTGTTAGTCCAGGAAGAGTAAATCTCCCTGGTAATAGGTCACCTTCTTGTTCCCAGAGGTAATTTAAGGTGTAAACAGGTGATACCCCTCATGTTCCGCAACCGAAAGCAAATTTGGGGGCGGTACTTGTGAGCGCCTTTCTTCTTTAACTCTTGTGACCAAAAATCTCTAAAGGCGATTTTCTCCTAAGATACCCTTTAAGGTATAAATATATCTGAACTAAGGTTATTTGCAATTTTTATATTGTCGATCTCGTTTCTGTTCTGGGCGAACTCAACCGTAAAGATATGAAAATTAAGGTAGTCCGTGTTTTACTAGTCCTCATTTTACCAGTCCACGTTTAACTAGTCCGCTTTTAACAAGTGTGCGTTTAATAGGGCCACGATTAACTAGTCTGCGTTTAACTAGTCCGCATATAACTAGTTCGCGTTTAGCTATTCTGCGTTTAACTTGTCCGCGTTTAACTGGTCCACATTTTACATGTCCGCGTTTAACTAGTTCGCGTTTAACTAGTCCGCGCTTAACTAGTCTGCATTTGGCTGGTCCACGTTTAACTGGTTCGTGTTTAGCCAGTCTGCGTTTCAATAGTCCGCGTTAGACTATTCCACGTTTCACTAGTTCACGTTAAACTAGTCCACGTTTAACCAGTCCGTGTTTAACTACTTCGCGTTCAACTGGTCCGCGTTTTATTATTCTGCTTCTAACTATTCCGCGTTCAACTGGTCCGCATTTTGCTAGTCTGCGTTTAACTAGTCCATGTTTAACTACTTCGCGTTTAACTAGTCCGCGTTTAACTACTTCGCGTTTAACTAGTCCGCGTTTAACTACTTCGCGTTTAACTAGTCTGCGTTTAGCTGCTTCGCGTTTAATTAGTCTGCGTTTAAGTGATCCGCCTTTAGCTAGTCCCCGTTTCACTAGTCCGTGTTTACTAATTTAATCCGCGTTTAACTGTTCCACGTTTCAATAGTCCACGTTCAACTAGTTCCCGTTTGACTGGCTCGCGTTCAACCTGTCCACATTTTACCATTCTTCTATAGGAAGAAGTTTCACGTTTATGACTTATGGGAGTTGAAGGGTTAACTACCCCGCGTTCAACTGGTCTGCATTTTTGCGATTTTGCTTTGATTTCCCGGCTTTTCTTTTGGTAGCCTGGTTTCTCCTGGTTTTTCTTTGAGTTCTCTATAATTTTCGTTCAGTTTTCTCTAATGGCAAACAAAATGAAAACGTCTATATGCCACGCGCACGTCGAGGTTCTTGCCCTCTAAAACGTTCGTACTGGAACTGTAAGTTTTAAAGAAGCACTTGTGGGAAAGAGCGCGGGCAGCGAGGAGGTTGTTGATAAGCCCGAGGTCCTCCACCAGCTTGTTAGAAGTAAATTCTCTAACACTCGTTGTTGGTTTGGTTGATTCTTCTTTAGTTTATTTTCTTCTCAAGTAGATACAACGGGGACTAGCTTCAATATCCAGGGAAAACTAGAGTCTCCGCTTATATAAAAACAATATAAAAATTACAAATAACCTTAGTTCAGAGTATTATTTATACCTGAAAGGGTATCTTAAGAGAAAATCACCTTTAAAGATTGTTACATAACAACATCTTGATCACAAGAGTTAAAGAAGAAAGGCACTCACAAGTACCGCCCTCAAATTTGCTTTCGGTCGGTTGCGGAACATGAGGGGTATCACCTGTTTACACCTTAAATTACCTCTGGGAACAAGAAGGTGTCGAACGCGACCTATTACCAGGGAGATTTACTCTTCCTGGACTAACAAATTAACTTATTTAAGAGCATGGCTTATCACGAGATCCATGTCAACCTCACGATCACAACGAAGAAAACGTGATTAAACTCACTAGGAGAACGTGGCCAAACTCACAAGAAGAACGTGATCAAACTCAACCTTTAAGATAAGACCACCATGAAGGAGTACGAAGTAATCAACCTGCCCTTTTTATAACTTACATTAAATGACTTAAAATAATATAATATTTCCATTCCTTTTCTTTCCGACACCAATACAGGAAACCCTTACGATATTGTAGATTAACTTTAATTGTAATTTTATCATTTAACAGTAGTTAAATGCGGACAAGTAAAATGTGGACTGGTTAAACGCAGACTAGTTAAACGCAAGCTAGTTAAACGCGGACTTGTAAGATGTGGACTAATAAAGTGTGGACTGGTTAAACATGGACCATTTAAACGTAAACTAGTTAAAAACGGACTAGTTAAATGCGGACTTGTAAAGTGTGGACTAGTTAAACGCGGACTAGTTAAACGCAAACTAGTTACACGCGGACTAGTAAAATGTGGACTAGTTAAACACGGACTTGTTAAATGCGGACTAGTAAAATGAGAACTAGTTAACCACGGACCAGTTAAACGCAAACTACTTAAATGCGGACTAGTTAAACTTGGACTGTTTAAACGCGGACTAGTTAAACTCAGCCTACTTAAACGCAGACTAATTTAACGCGGACTTGCAAAATAAGGATAAAAGGTAGCGTTTGTGGTCTATCGTCTTTGTTTTCTGAATATAAAGGCAAACAACAACAACAAAAAACCTGCATCAGGGACTCTGCAGCTTACTGACGTTCTTGTGTTACTGGAAAATCAAAATTACTTCGTTACGGTTCTTTGTCCCAAAATACATAATTTAACTAAAGATAGCGAAAACGAAACTTTTTAACTGATCAACCTAAACCAAAGATATTTTGCGGTCTCTGTCCTCCATTGAAGGAAGAGTCAGTAAGTATCGAAGGCGTGACTTTGCACTAGCGTAGTGAAAGGCAGGTTATTTGACACGTGATAGGGCAAATATCAAGGCTCCGCAGTTACTCTTGATTCGTGCTTTGGGTTAGCAGAATCAGGCAGGGTGCGTATTTATACGAGGTTACTTCTTGTGCCTTCAAGGTCAATGAACCAGTTGGCCCAGCTGGACTTAAGACTCTTCCCAAAGTGAATCACATCTGGCAAGACAACAGCAAGGGACAGTTCTGCAGGCAATGTCTCATTCTCTGCACTAGAATTCAGTACTAACAAGTCCTTCTTATAACATTCCTCGCAACCAGTTACAATAGCCATGACAAGGAATCTGTTGCACTTAAAGCCCCCTGCCAGACAGGTGTTACAAGCTGTAAAAGAAGGTATGTGCGAGGTGTGGTCCTTTTCCATGCAATTTGCGCACACAGACTTAATTGCTAAACAGTCATTACAGCTAATTAAACATGGAGATTTACAAGACAACTCCTTTAGACCAAGGAACTTTTTCAGCAAGGCGCTTTTTCAGCGCCAGTACGGTGTCTACATCATTAACAGGAATGCGGCTTCTGTGACGCTCAAATGCCGTTGCCGAATCAATTCGATAAAAGCTTACAACTGCTTTTAAAATACCAGCATTGACGGCCATCGCGTAAGTTGACGATCGAGTCGAGTTTCAAAGATCATATAACGGTGACATATGACCTTGATATGGATGGTTCATGCGTCCATTACTAACGAAATATGACACTCTCGCGTACTCCTACTGGTATGTGATAAAAAACGTACTTTTATTGGATAGAGTAAATCAACTGTCCTTATTTTACATCCAGTTTTTAGGATATTTAGGGTGATCCGGTCATTTGTCAACTGTCAGTAAAAGCCCACCACAAATGTTAGTTGTCGGTTAGATTTTCAGCGATTTGTCAGTTGTCAGTTGTCAGTTAAAATTTTGGCCATTTGTCAGTTGTCAGTTAACCCCATCCAGACCCTCTTATATCAATCACCTCAATATTGCATTTAAAGGAGAGAAAGATGAGAAAGTGAGGGTTGTGAAGGCACATATTGGCAGTAAGATTTTGACTTCTATTGTGCAGGACACTCAGAACAACATTCAGCCGGCCTCTGACTCAAATTCAGAGTCTGAAAGTGACAGCGACATGGTATGGTGCATTGTTGGATCTGGTGGTAAATCTTCAGAACTAAATGACTCAGGAGATCAGACAGCGGATAGTCAACAGGAGCAAGAAGCTGAAGAAGCGATACTTGAGTCTAGTACGTCTCGATACGGACGGAAAAGAACACGAGTCCTCCGAGAAAACTATGTGCCATGGCATAATATAAATGGAGAACTGTAATCTGGAACCTATAATAAAACACCAAATTAAATCAAAGTAGGTGAAAAGAAAAACTTAAGCTGTGAGAAAAATGGAAAGCAACATCACAGAAATCCTTATTAAAAAAATTCTGGAAAAGGTGTGTGACCCTCCGCTTGAATAGCTAACAAAGAGGTATGACCCTCCCCTGACGACCCTCCCCTCTGGGGCCCCAGCCCTCCCCTACCATGAAAAAACGCACCTTCCCTTATGACCTAAAAAAACGACGGTTTTTGTGTTTGAGCGTATCATCCTTCAAGGGTAGCATAGGAGAAACTCAAGGGTTCGCGTACATTTTATTTAATATGGGAAATTCTCCATCCCGCGTTTATCTTGATTGTAATGTGTCATCAATGAGGAGTACTTCTCCGCTAGTCACCGCCGCTAGTAATGGCTGCCTAGATTCTGTGAAGGAGATTCTCGTACGAACTGAAGCAAACATCGAAGCTCGTGGAACACTTACAATTGAAGGCGAAATTGTCGAGTTTTGTTCACCGTTGTTCGCCGCTGCTGCTGGAGGGCATCTTGATGTTGTAAAACTGCTGATCGAACGCGATGCAGACGTTAACGCCAGAACAAAGACGATTAAACTCTATGACTATTGCGATGATCGAACTCCTCTGATGATGGCATGTCATGGTGGCTACCTGGATGTCGCTTCTTATCTCATTGAACATGGTGCAGATATAGATCTACAAGACTCAATTCAAGACACTTGTCTTCACTATGCTGCTAGAATGGGACACGTTGAGATAGTTGACAAACTTCTTTCTGTAGGTGCGGAACAAAAACAAAATGATATTGGTGTGAGGCCACTATTCGAAAGCTGTGTTCATTGTAGAATTGAAGTGGTGGAGTATTATATCAAAAGACCGGACTGTTCAAAGGAGCAAAGAATTGATGCTCTGGAACTTCTGGGTGCCTGCATTGCTAAGGATGATGTTGCTTATGACACTGAAAAAGCATTAACTTTCATGGAACGTGGGATGGATGAGAGGTTTGTTTGAATATTTTTCCAACACACTTTTTACAGTTGATACTTTCTTTATTCCTTTCTATTACACAACTTACTGCCCTAGGAACTAGCTGACAGATCTGAGTGAAAATGCTGGTCACCAGCTAATAAAGGCGACAATCAGCAAGCTGTAAATAATTTGACCAACATCACTATTCCTCGCTTTACTGGCGAATCAAGTCAAGTTATGGGAAACAATTCCTGCATACTAAATGTATACCTTCGATTTGTTGACTCTTTTCAAAACGACATTATAGTGTATGCCAGGATATGCAAAGATGATTATGGAATATAGCTAGGAGAGAGTACGTGAGTCGAGAAGTTTAGGATGGCGATGCCTTGTTCGGTTGTTGTAATCCGGTTCAATCCGTAGGTTGAATGCGTATATTGAGACTCTACAGACATTCTACCTAAAATTCCATACGTTTGCGGTTAAGATCGGCCAAAACTAAAACGAGATTGACAGTATAAAAATTCTAATGATCTTATTGACAGAATTAGAATCATATTTTAAAAGATATCCTGAGAGAAAATAGCCTTCGAAGACTGTTACTAAACGACAGAATAAACAGAAAATTTGGAGAAGAAAGGGTGTGTCCAAGGTAGCGCCGCTAAAAGAGATAAGTGCTGTTCGTACAAGTTACCTGATTATAAATTCAGTGCAGAAGATAAAAAGATAAATATTTAACCACAAATTGTAGTTTATTTAAAAACATCTGTCTCCACATCAAATTCACGACCACAATAAGAACAGGTGACAGAAATTCCACCTGTAAGATGAGACCACCAAAAGGATAAGAAGACCGCCAAAAGGAATAGGAAATGATCAACTTGCCTATTATAACTTTTTTACTGAATGGCTCATGGTAATAAATTATTTTCATTAATTTTCCCAACACCAATATATGGAAACCCTAACAATCTTTTCAGATTAGTTACATATCTATTTTTATATTTTAAAAGGTTTGAGGACCCTGCACATCCATTGTTAAAAGAGATGTGGATATTAAGTGAAGAGAGTCAAACTCCCAAGGAATTCATTCTGCAGTTAACTGGGAATAATGAAGCCATCAAAATGGAGGGAATGTTCATCATGATGAGACTCCTGGGATCTATGGATTTATCTCAGTGCAAAACAAGGTACCGGAGAACTGTTTCAGCTGACCCTAAGGGCTCACATTCCTCTCGTTTGAGGAGGTTCTTGAATAAAACCTGGAAATTTTTTGAGAGTCTCAGCTGTATGATGGTGAATGTGGATGATTTCATATACATATGTGAATTACAGCTGCAAGAAGGTGAATTTTTACCATCAGAGCACATCAGACAGTTGTTTGAAAAAGTTGTAGCAAGAAGAGAGACAATCATGAGGGAATTGGGAACAGGGACTGAAAATGAGGAACTTGAAAAAATGCTTTATCAAGCCCTGTATCTTCTAATGTTGTACTCCAAAAGTCATGTTTCAGAACAGAATGATCATGAAACTGCAGCTATGACTGACCTTCTTCCCAGACTTTTGTGTTCAAACCCTCGTACCTGGAATGGGAATACGTTACTGCACTTGGCTGTGTGGCATGGAACTCCTTATATAGTATGCAGCTCATATGATCGGGAGCACAGAATGTGCGGTGGAATGTTCAAGCCTCCCTGTCTTGAGACCATGAGGCTAATTTTACATGCAGGTTGTGATGTGAATGCCATGAACATTGAGGGAAACACTCCTCTACATTTAGCTGTTACTTTTAAGCCAGGACCAGGACAAGAAGATGTTTTGAAAGAGACACTGGACTTGTTGTTGCTATTCGGTGCAGACACAAAGCTTGAAAACAACAGTGGTCGAATGGCAATGGACTGCTGTGAGACTGACGAGGCCCAAAGGATCCTGAGTGCCATGGATATTGATGTCAGAAATGTAAGAAAATTTTAATTTTAAGTTATGATTCTTTAAAATCATCACAGTGACCAATTCGTTTACTACATCATGCCCGTCTGCCTATCTACTGCTTTGATGATTTTGAACCATCTTGATGTAGTACAATCCATTGTAATGTTGTGACAGCCTAAAGGAGCTATTTGAAGATCAGTTTGTGTTGTTGGAATGTCATTTGACTGAAACTTATCCAGGTAACTTGTTTACATGCATTTGTTATGGCACGACTAGTAACACTGATCAGGTTTCATGCTGGAGATTTACTGAAAACTGATACCTGCAAGTAGATGATATTTTCAGGTTGTCACGCGTGATGTAAAAGTCACCCCTTGCTTTAAACGTAGGCATGTAACACATGGTAACATAAATGCAAAAGTAATTTTTCAGGATTGATTGGGTAAGGGAGCTAGGGACTTTTAGACATCTCTTTTTGACAGATCACTCATTTCCATTATGTATGTACATGCTTTTCAGATCTCACACATACCGGTAGCATTTTCACTTTCCCAATGGTGTGGTACCCAACCCCTCTTGCAACCAACTAAGCGACAAAGTGAAATTATAACATAGCTAGTAAATTTGTCCAATCAAATTCAATTGTGCAAGCATGCTTCATATTCCTATTGTGCATGCTCATGACATCAGCAAGCAAATCTCTCAGGAAAAAAATTTTCCATCGGGTTGAAAATGTTATAAAACAATCGGTTCATATGTCAGCTGCACCTCGAGCAACTCTTGTGCATCTTTTATGCACTCAAACTTCCTGCATGCTTCATATCTTGATGAACACACACTGACGTATGAACAAATTGTTAATCAACGTCTGCACTATGTTTTCATGTAGCTTTGTTTTGGTCTTTTTCAGTGCCATAAAACTCATTTGAAATGTTGAAAGGCATCAAGGTGAAAAATGTTTGGACAATTCAATAATTCCCTCACCCGTTGCAACTTTTGTTTTGATATTACTTACATATTCACACTTATTATTGAACAGGATATCGTAAATTTCGGTTTGAACTGCACATGGTGTTGCATTTGTGTAATTTCTTTGTTTTTCATTCCCCCTGTTCAGTGGCTCCCCAATAAAACCGCAAGTTACCTAGACTAGTTATTCTGACCTTGCTTGAAAAATCACCTATTTATTTCACATAGAATCCCCAAAAAGCGCGAGTTAATACTTCAATTGCATCTAGCCTTGTTTTTTTAAAAAAAAATTACTAAAAAAGTTTGAAAGCTCATCAATCAAGACTCAACTCAAGACTCAAACTAGTGATGGTCAAAGTTCTGAGACAGGAAAGAAATTGATTTTAAACTGACAGTAATGGTTGCGACATTGTGCATAGCGTTTAACAAGTATGATGTGTGTAGTCTGTACAATTATACTTTTAAAATTGCTTTGGTTTCCTCTAAGTGGGTATATATTCTCCCTTTTCACTAAGGATGAAATGCTTGCAAGCAGAAGTGGCAAAGAAATAGACGAGGGATTTCGTATAGGAAGGCAAAACGACCTAAACCAGAACTATCAAGAAGAGACTGAGAAGTTAAGATCAACAAGCTCTGGTGGTAAGCTGTAAGGGTGTCATCTTTAGGTGATTAAGCAAAATGCAATTTATAAATGGATGGGCAGCTTCCCCATGGTACATGGGGAAAGACATAAAAGTAAATGCTGTATTTGAACTGTTGTCAGCAATGGAAAGAATGCATCAGTAGACTGTCATGAAAAAAAAGGAAAAATTTATTTTTAACTGGCAAAGCAATAGATTTGTAATTTCATTTATTAACATGAGGCCAGACCATGGATATAACCAGAGAGGGGGTGACAAGAAACTAAAATGATTTAAAACAACCAGTTAAAGCACCAAGTAACATTGAGTACTTATTCTTGGTATCTTAAGCCTAAAAATAAAATGAATTCAGAGGGATTTTAAGAAAATAAGACAACTATGAATATTCTGTTTTTAAGATAGATTTTCTCTCGGTATAACAGTTAACCTCAGAGTGAAAACGGTTATTTTCATTTCTCTAAGAACAATTGAGGAAGTTGAGACGAAATATGAAATATGTCCAAGGGCAACTAAGAGAGAGAGGTGGAAAACTGAGGGAGATGACAAAGCAGTTGACAGATGTCAAATGGCAGTTACGAACGAGGGATGCAGAATTGAGAGGGATAAGTAAAGATGTGGAAAATGGTGCAGAGCAGGTACAAAAGAGAGATGAACAACTGACAGAGATGATACAGTGGCTAACAAATGTTGAAGGGCAGCTACAAGAGAGAGATGGACAACTGACAGAGAGGACACAGCAATTGACAAATGTTGAAGGGCAGCTACAAGAGAGAGATGAAAAACTAACAGAAGTAACACAGCAATTAACAAATGTTGAGGGGCAGCTACGAGAGAGAGATGGACAACTGACAGAGAGGACACAGCAATTGACAAATGTTGAAGGGCAGCTACAAGAGAGAGATGAACAACTGACAGAAGTAACACAGCAATTAACAAATGTTGAAGGGCAGCTACGAGAGAGAGATGAACAAATGAGAGAAATGAAACAGCGGTTGACAAATATGGAAAGACAATTAGAAGAGAGAGATGGAGAACTGACAGAGAAGACTCAGACTTTGACAAATGTCGAAGGGCAGCTACAAGAGAAAGATGAACAACTGAGAGAGATGAGAAAGCAATTGAAAAATTTTGAAGGGCAGCCACAAGAGAGAGATGGACAACTGACAGAGGTGACAGAGCAGTTGAGTAATGTCTAAGGGGAATTACAAGCAGAGGCTGACAAGGCTAAAGATTTACAGGACTTAGTTAACAGCTTAGAAAAACAACTGAACGACCATCCCTACTCAACTAGCCAGAGGAAGGAACTTTAGTCCATAAGTAAGATGAAATCAAATCATCTTCTTTAACATGTGTCAATTAATCTATCATTCAAAAATTAAATCCTTTTAGATGATGAAAAATTGCACAAATTACAAGGAAGCAATACCTCTCTTCATAAAAATAAGTGACCTCACAAAACATAATTTTCTGAGGTCTAAAAATTATCATGTAACTTTATCATACACAATGTATATATATGTGTCAATAGGAAGTCTATGTTTCAGTTTTTCCATATTACAGTGCTCAATATGTAGAAGCAGAGTGTGACCTAAATCGAGTTAGGAAAAAACAAAGAGACTACGCTTCATCCTGTAGTCCAGTAAAACACTACTAGTATCTGGAAGGCACAGGTTTGAATCCAGACAAAGCCTGAATTTTTTCAGGGTTTTTTTCCATGATTTCCCCAGTTGCAGCTCACTTGCACAGATCATCTCTTTGCTTGTATTTCAGGCCAAGTTAAAGTGTGATTTATTTCACATCACTAATATCATCATAGAAATACCATTGCAGGGTTTTCATTAAGAGATACAGAAACTTGAGAAAAGTTTATTAATAAGTAACAGGATAATTTTTTCCAGGTCTTGAAAATAACAACTTAGGTCATCACAATTTAGCCAGAGAATCCTGAGTAGTAGCCAGTCAATTTTTCTGATCTACTATGCATAAAGAACACCTTTCCATTCTTCAGTGGAAGGCCTTATTGTCTTACATATATATCCTACATTTACATGACAAGGATCAAAGTAAGTGTATTTCAGGCCAACAAGCAGTGAAGGTTCACATAGGTTCTGCCACATCCAGACACAACTCTTGCACAATTGTTTTGTTCACTTGCTTGAGTCTAACAGGCTTCGCTACCCATTACTTAGGGATAGACCAAAGAGGAGTATAATTCTCAAGTTTCAAGATTTTTTCTTCAATATTTTCAAGGTAGAAATTCTACATAATAATTATGAATTGTATTAGTTTTCTCTTGTACTATTTTGCATGTGCCTTGACCAACCAGCCAATTAGATGTAAAACTAACTCTAATTTCTGCTTGGTCTCTATTGTTTAGTGCATTTCAAGCAGTTTGCCAGTTTTTACTTTTAGTTCTTACTGTCAATAATGATGTCAATCTTTCTCTGATTGGCATATGTGATAACTTTGGTTTCAGTTTTTTGACTCTCAAGGGCAAAACTTCTCCAAATCATCATTTATAAACAAGGGGAAGATCAATTTAGATAAGCAAGAAAATCCCACTTGCAGATTAATTCCCCATGGTTTGATAGATAAATATTTTGTCTTATCTCATCCATCATATAATCTAAAGAAGGTGTTAATAGTGACTGCTTTTTGTTAAATATAAACTCTCTTCATCAGCCAACTGGGCGTAGAACATCCAACTGACAACAACTATTCTCTTGACTCTGAAATTGACTTCCGCTCAGGTTGTCAAAATGTCAGTCACCACTACCAACAACAGTCCTTCTCAGGACTACACTCACCCTGACAATCAGACTACACAATCACAGCTCTCTCTTTGTTGACGAGGTAAATTGCTTTCAAAAACCTCTCTGCATTATGCACCATAACTTTTTAACAATGGTGCGTTTGGATCAATGCAACATGCCGCAGCAACATTCCCTGGTGAAGCAATTTTGTTTAGTATTCTCAAACTTGGTTATGGCTAAGAGACTCAGCATTATCCTAATAAAAAGCACAAATTTAATGCTGCATTTCATAAAATTCTTTGGGAGAGCACAATTGCATTTCAACATTGCGGATCTCATTAAACTTGGAAAAATCTACAAAGTATTTGCCATTTTCAATAAAGTCTTGACCAATGACATTCAGAAAGTCATAACCCCACAAGATTTCATCACTGGTATATGATGTCTTGGGCTGGGTGTTCATTCCCGTATGTTCAACTATTCCATCCAAAACTACAACAATCTCATAATCTGATTCCTTAAGCTGATCAGGTGTAATCTCAAAAAAGGGACTTTTTTCATCAATGACATGAATTATCACCATAGGAAGCAAAAGAAACAACTCATTCCTGAAGTCGTTTGCAGGGTTTTGCCAGTCATAGCACACTCTAAGATCCTCCTGATAAAAAGGGATTTCTTTTCCTTCAGAGGTTGTCCACTTCCGAAATAATTGCATTCTTATCGAAGCATCAACAATTTGGCTTTTGCGAATATCTCCAACCCTGAACATCAAACACAGTTTCCCATCCCTGGGCGCAATCACTGCATTCTCTGAGAACATCACAGTCTTCATGCGTTCACGAGGCTGGGATAGCTTAGCAAAAGTCAAACCAAGTAAAAAAGCGTCCAAAATCAAACCAATCAAGGATTGTATCTGTAACACAATGGCAGCCTCTGGACACTTGGTTGTAATTGCTCTGCTTCCATAACCAATGGTTTGTTCCGTTTCAATGGAAAACAGGAAAGCAGAAGACCAATCATACACCTGGAAAAAAACAGATCTGAATTAAATCATTGAAATATATAGTTAATTAATATTGAATGCCATCAGATTCATTTTGTGAAAATGAAAAATAAAGTAAGTGCATAGAAAAATCTGAAAAAGATATTTCAAACTGATGTTATGAAAAGGAATTTTTTTGTCCTCCTTCCAGGATTATTTCAGCTGGAAGGGTTCTTACCTGCTATCAATGATTCATTTGAGATGGTTCATCTCAATTGAGGACAATTTTTCAGATGTGAGCAGAAATATGAAAAATTGGCTAAATGACCTTTGAAAAAAAAAAGGAGTTCCCCATACCACCCCTCCCTCAGCTTTTTATCAGTTAAAAAAGCTCCTTTAACATTTCTTCCTTTTACAATTTTCAAATCACTCAGTCACGCAGTCATTCACCATACGCATACTGTCACGCATTCACAGCACCTCCAAATTTTAGTACAAATAACCAAACGAACAGAAAACTACAGATGACTCGATTCGTAAACTTACCTCCGTGACACAAACCGAAGGTCCCCTAATTGCGATAATCAGCCACCAAAGCAGGGCAAACAACAGCCATGACAAGACGTACGAACCACAGAATATCAAAATTACCCAAGGCCAGTGAAGATCGATCACTGTAGTAAACAAATCGGCGAAGTACAACTTGGTTTTCCCCGGTACATTTCTGGCCAACACTTTGAGAGATCCATTTTTACCGACTAACCGCTTCTTTCTAGAAGAAGAACGATTGAGAAAGAGTCGAGTGTGTTCATCGAAAGTCGGCGAGGAACGTGGAGGATGTAGAGAAAATGAAGCTCTATTAGCTTGATTTTTTTGCACTCGCATGTTCACCAGATTGGTAGAGGAGACCGGTTCTATCCTAACGAAGGGTTCAACAGTTTCGTTAGCCTCAATCGAGTCCGTTGTTTGACGAAAATTCGAATTTTCCGTCATACTTTTGCTGTCAGTGACATCGAAACAACTGAAATAGTATGACAGATTCGTGCAAAATTAATACCCAGTCTCTCAGCTGTTTATATAATGCTCTTAACACTTATCGGTGTAATCTCTCCACAGTATGCATATAGCTTTATACGAGCCATTTGCGGTTGATTAAAGAAAAACAGTTGAAAACCACAAAAACAAAAGATAATGTCCATATTGGAACTCGCTTGTAGTATGAAGACGTTTTGACGCCAGAGGAAGTCTTGAGCGGCCACCCACGGGGAATGGCAGGTTGGCCGCTTAATACAGGTTCCGCAGATAGAAGTATTCTAAGAAAGGATAAAAATTTTCATTTTATGCCATAGGTGAACTCTTTATGCAGAAAAACTCGCTTAAAATACTTACGGGAGATAAGAATGGGTTAAATTTTTACTTGAAAGATTATTCTTAGTTTTATTTCAGTGGTTCCGATTATACCCCGTAAGCTTGAGTTTGAACCGTATCAAGAACCCATTGGGGCCCCTATCTTTTTATAAAATTCAGCTTTTTGAAGCTGATTTTCATCCAGTGAAACCTGGTTAACTATAAAACACGTTTTTGTTTTTGTCGTTGTTGTTGTTCTAATGTGAATGGGGTATTAACTTGTTCTTCAATCAGTGAAGACACGAGACATGAATGTTTCCCAGACAACCGCAAATTCCGCACCCACATGTACGTTCGTCTGAAACAGAAACTCTGAAACTGAGAGGTTCCGAGAGCCTGGCACAGGCAAGGCACAGGCCACACCCGGGATATGAGCCCGCCCAGGAGCCCTTTACCCCAAATAAAGGCTCCCAGGCTGTGATCCTCCTCCGAACCGTTCCTTATTGAGAGGAACGGAGATCAGATCCGGAAACGGCGGAAATCATGAAGACTAGGTCCAGGCTAAGGAAAGCTGGACAGCAGTAGCTTCATACCCATGACCCCTGGCGAGTGTCGGCTACAAATTTTTCTCATTTCCAAGAGCTAGGTTGGCCCAATCGCAGTTTGCACCGGCGGAAAAAGCTCTTTAGTTCCCATACTTTCTCTACTAAGATAAATGCGCTCTCTTAACTGTAAATTTTAGTTAAAAAAAAAAAAACAGAACTTACTGATAAAGCTGATACTCCATGTTTTCAAAAAATAGTTTATTCGTTAAATTTCACTTTTGTATCAAATTCCCAATCTTCCAAATATATACGCATTTATTTTTATCCTTGTTTAAACAATGATAAAAAACGGAAAACTCTGCCCACGCAATAACCCTTAGGATAATAGGCCCTAAATTAACATGCGTATAAAAGTTCTCTATCTCGGAGGAGCGCGGTAGTGAAGCAGTGCGAGGGCAGAGTGACGAAGGAAAAAGAAATCGAGTTTTTATTCTTGTTTTCCCATCGCGGACTGTTCACTCTTGCCATGCCACTCTATTGCGCTCACCGAAATGAAAATATTCCTTCCCCTTGGAACGTACACTAGCCTTCTGACAAGCTAGCCTGTCTGACATTCACACATGTTTTCACCCTTGTCCTCAAAGTGTCCGTATTTAACCTTTCTCCCCCTAAAATCAACTCCTCACTCAGACGACAAAAATTGTCAAGCGACGTTCCCAGATGTAAAATTTTTAGCTAGTGGACTAAGTCTATTGGGGATTGAAACAGATGTCTAGCCTCGTTCCTAATGGCTTGCGTAACTAACAGACTACTGTAAAACTTAAGGTCGAAAGTGTTTTGTGCAGGAAATACTGACCAACCGAGTGTGTGTGGCGGAACTTCCGAAACAAAAACTTGACATTCTGTTGGTTAAGGTTACCTGAAACTTAAGAAAACTGAAACTGATTAGATTTAGCTATGGTTCAATCATTAAAGTCTAGTGGTCTTCAATCTTAGCTGACAGGAACAGGTTATCTATATTTGTATTGCACAGAAAACAAAATACGCAAACGGTGATCAGAAACTGAAGACTTCATTGATTTTGATTGTTCTGTGTATATTCGCACCTTGAAATGTGTTTAGAGCGCTGTTAATTACCCAACAAAAACAAACACGGTCAACATCACTGTATTTATTGCGATGTAATAGATGAGATGAGGCCATTTTTCATCGAAACTTCAGATTTTATGGTGAATTCGTCTGCTTACTTATCCGTATGAAACTGAAAGGTAATTAGAATCATTAAAATTAAATCACTTCGGGAACAAACAATAACATGGTAAACGAAAACAAAAATAATCGTATTTATGAAAAAATAAATAAAATCGAAGTGATTACGTTCATATGTGATATTTTTTAATTTTGGAGCGCATTAATGTTCCGTCTGCGGTACTATAATGATTATTTAGCAATTACGTTGTCAGCAAAGTTAATACATTCATTCTTCAGTACCCTCCTAACACCTAGATTAAACATGGGCAATTGAAATTTCATCCCCGTTCGCCTCGTTATCTTCAGTGCTTAGAGTTGTGTCGGTAGGTCTCTGCTCCGTGTTATCCGAATCGTAGTCAATGTCCTCCTGTGTTCCAGCGCTCAGTAAAGATGATTCCGAATTCATTTTAAACATTTTTCCTTCGTAATAGTCCTTAGCCGAAACCTGGGGGGTAGGAACCGAACGGGTGTCGTCAAATACTGAAAAATCGACCCTGTATCTACCAGACCTCCATCTAGACTCGTCTGTTGTGTTTACAAACTCATGACCCCACAGAATTTCATCCGCTTTGTAGGACGTTTTCGCTTGAACTAACATACTGGTAGCCTCTACAGTTCCTTCAAGGAGAACGACTATTTCGAAATCGCAGTTGAGCAAATCTTTGGGGTGCATTTCATAAAGGGGGCTGTTCTCATCGATAACATGCACCATGGTCAGGGGCAATATCAAAAATATTGCACTGTCCTCTATCAGACCGTCTTCACAAGACCAGTCCGTTCCCACGGGCAAGTTCTGCTGATAAAACGGCAGTTCAATTCCTTCTCGAGTCTTCCTCTTTCGAAACAAATGCATTCGAACATGAGCTTCCAGAATCTGGCTTTTCCTCACGTCACCCACCCGAAACATTAGGCACATTTTGCCGTCACGCACTGCGACCACGGCGTTTCGAGAAAATAAAATAGTTTCTGCGCGATTCCGCGGACGCGATAATTTTGCGAAAATTAGACCTAGCATAAACGCACCGATTATAAACCCGATCAGCGATTGCACATTCAATAAAATAACAGCTTCTGGACACTTGGGTGTGACTTGTCGGCCCCCATAGCCAATAGTTGTTTGCGTCTCAAGCGAGAACAGGAACGCGCTTGCAAACGAATCAACATTGTCGACGCAGACGTTGTCTCCGCGGATGAACGTTACAAGCCACCACAAAAAGCCAAATAGGAGCCAACTACCACAATACATGAACGAGTAAACCACACAAATCCATCGCCATTTAGAGTCAATCATTGTAGTAAATAAATCCGAGAGGTACATCCCATGTTTTTGTGGTACATGTGACGCCACCACTTTCAGTCCTCCATGTTTTCCCACTAATCGGCGCTTCTTGCTGCCGTGTTTGGTCGATAGAATTCGCTTCATTCTGCTCCTTTTGCTCTTAGCCTCCCACGGTCTCTTCCTTCGAGTATGACCTGTGCCGTTAGGCTGTTGTATCCTGACCTCTTTTAGCTCATACTCATCACCTTGTCCACCCTCTTCGGTCTCGTTCATGTCAGAGTAGTCAGATGATGTTCTTGAGTCTGAAGATTCGTCCACCCCTCGGCGTTGCCGATGCCGTTTAGCTTGGTCCCTCGACCTGTCCGATGGAGAAGACATCTTTGAAAAAAATTACCAACCACCCGTATAAACGGCAAGTTCAACAAAGGGCGAATCAAATTATTAGAAAACCTTGTTCTGAACAGTTCGTAAATTACTTCCAATGTACCATAACGCTATTAGTCATTAAACATGTGACGTGAGTGGAGTGACGAAGTAACCTTGATGACACTTTCCCCGCTGTGCGTGTGACTAAGGTTGTTTTGATCAATATATCCCTTAATTATTGTGAGCCAATATTTAACAGAAAGAAATTATGAAGGTAAACAACTCAGACATAGCTTAAAAACTCACTGAGTGTATCCTGCGGATATCACATCCAAAACCGCAATCAATTTGAAACAAAGGAATATTAAGAATTTCTCACGTCCTTACCGAACGCGCAATTTCCCTCTTCCTCTCTGCTTTGCCCTTCGTGAAATTTAAATTTGTTTATCATTCAGAACCCACTGAAGTTTGTGCATCACTATGCGGATAATACTGTTATTGTACTTGGCACTCACTTGGGATTTTACAAAATGCTGTGATTTATTTGCATTCAGCTGATATTTGCATTTGAACGCCTCTGCAAGACCTCAGAATGACCTTTACATGATTCTTAAAACAATACGGGTGTCACGCAGTAAACTTCGCCGGTTGATATGTCTACTAACTTTGCTTTCCAGTAAAGTGCCTTCCGAATACTGGGAGAGAATTTTGAGGAAATTTCAATCGTTTCGAAAGGTGCTATGTAAATATCGTTTGATAGAGCCTTAAAACATGAGAGACGCAATCCGAAAGCTGTTTTCAACGAGGAAACGAAACCAGTTCCCTTATCTCGTCGATTTCATTTCCGCATGTGCTCCACGGCCGTATTTCTTGAATAGACACTACCCCAATGGATTAAAATTTGGCCATGCCCCGACAAGTCATGAAATCACAAGGCTGAGGTCAGATTTCGGACAGTTCTAACCGATTTCGGATTCCGAGAACTTCTGATCGATTCCGGACGCTTCTGTCTAAGTCTGTTTTCGGTCGTTTCCGTCCATTTCGATCGACTTCTATTTTAAGACATTTCCAGTGTGAGCACTAAAGAGACAGCGTTACGTTTAATTTTGTAGAAAATCAACAACGATAAAAGGAAATTTTAAACTACTATAATTTTCCGGAAAGCTAGAACTTTGCTATATCGACACGGGCAAAAATTGCGGTTTTCTTGAATAACTTCTTTATTTCGTGAATACCTTAAACAGTGTGCCTACAAATCCGCTATTATACCCGTTGCTGTCCTAAATTGTCAATTGCCTATTATCAAAACAGCTCAATTTTGAAAGAATTTGTTTTCTCCAAGAGAATATCAGTTGATATTCTTTTGTTTTCTCTCAAACTATGACATAAATTTCTCTCTAAGCCTGAATAATAATAATAATAATAATAATCATGTATTCAGTATAACCGAAAAGATTATTAAGAATATTGAGACTTTAAGATCCCAGATACCGATGCGCTTCATAGCTTCATGCTTCTCACTTTAATTAAGATTAATTTATTTCGAATTTCTCTGAGACAGCAGGAGTAAACAAGAAACAATGCTATACTCTTTTTAAAATTCTCTCGATTATTGCCATTTTAGAAGACGATGCTGTAACCGTGCACTTGTCAAAGCCGAAACTGAAAAGTTTTACCTCGTTATTTTTAATCATATCTTTTGGACCTTTGCCGTGCTCTTTATAACTATTTTACTCTAAACAGCGCGAAATCATTTACCAAATATGCAAAGATTTAGATTTTTTGAATAATTGTTGGTAGCCAAACTATGAGGGAACTCTTAGTGGGATGATTTATAGATGGCCACTGCCATCAGAATTTGTGACTGCTTAATAAGGGTTAAATTTTCTTGATGATGAAAGCTTTGAGAGTTTGGCAACTGTGGAGCTCTCTCGGGATGAACCTCCGAAGGCGATCTTGTCGGGACCGGAATCCTAAAGGGGAACTCAGATCTCTTTCTTTTACCTTGTGCATGTAAAATGTTTTTTTTTTTAAGTCGCTTATTGTAAATTAAAATTTGATGTAGGCGGCCACTTAATGGGCTTTGAGTTGGTGCTCGAGCGCATTGCTCAAAAGAAAAGTAAATTTTCTATCTTCAAAGAGTTCCATATTTCCGACTTTTCTCGCGCTTTTTTCGAAATTTACTTCTGATCCTTTCTTCTTTGCTCCAGGTATTGAGGCGAACTTTCTTGTCGACTGTTTACTTACATTTAAGCTGATTGGTATCACGGGATGTTGTGATGTGCTTTAATGAAAGCCCTTTTTTGCGACAAACCGCAAATTTTGATGAGATGCACAGTTGAGTGTAGAGTCACTTTGTGTATTTTGATATATCATCAAAAAGCGGCCAACTCTTTTCCACCTGAAACGGTGAGGAAAAACCTGAAGATCGCGAAATTTGAATGGTATGAAACACAGTCGAGTGGATAGTTTCATTTTTTTGCCACAGATGTTTCATTTAGCAGAAAGACTATTGTATTATTTTGCTACAATAATAATTTTATGCGGTTGTTAATTTTCACCTATCAATGAAGAGCGCGGTTACAAAGCTAATTTTTGACAGCGGACCTTCGCCTATCACAGGTTAACACATACACGTTCACTTTGTTGCTGGTATTCTTTCACTTTCCCACACCGGACTCACTCATCCCAGACGAGTAGGTAAGAGTATTTTCTGCTGTAAAGGATGAAGCTGCAAGATATTGCATACCCCTTGCGCTTAGCCTTAATCTTACGGGTAAAAACGCTGCATAAATTAATGCGTTGCGTCCGATCGGACGATAAATACTAGTGATATGGTTGCTAACAGCTGATCTTGTCTACGCAAATGAATGCACAGTTTCTGCAAGATTCCTCTCAATCTCATTCAGAATTTTCAATGTAACAGAATTATTCTAATACATTTGCAGTAGCGACGCAAACTAACGGAAAGATACGTTCCACTCTGCGCAGAGAGTGCGTTCGGCTGGTCGAATGACAATCGTTCCTCAAATCCGCCATTTTCCTTTCTTGACTGCTGGACCTCTCAGGGCTACAAGCTGTTAAATTTGCTTTCGTTTTACATGATGTTGATTCTTCCTTGTGAAGGGGATTGAGTATTACATAAGTGCGTTATCCGCGATCACAGTTCCAGGAAATGCCCATTTCCGATCGCGTTGTGGTCAAAATGGATCAGCTGTCAAAAGGGGAACGTTGCTAACGATTGCATTAGAACCCAGATGTGGCCTTCTAAAATGGACTTAAAAGCACCCATTTATGTCTTGCAACAATACAGTTATAAGCCGTTTTTAGCTTGATTGTCCAAAGCAGTCTATACGAGTTTGGAGGTGGTGTAATATTTAAATTAGGGTTGAGCGGTCTAAACCCTATTAAATGCTTCCGAAAATAATTTATAATTTCAAGGCGGACTCACCGCCAGATTATGATATGCATGAAACATCATTATGGTTTAAATGACATGGGTTTAATTAAAAATTTAACTTTAAATTTTATAGTACAGGTAATGATACTAAACAAAAATATATAGAACCTAGTATTTTTTAAGGAAAAAATTGAATTAAAATAATCTACTGTTATATAACTTTTTATTGTCAAATTGGCTGTGATCCAACCTTTGAAGGAAAAATTTTGATATAGAGGCTGACAGTAGGGCATGGCATTAACGATGGATTTAAATGTGTTATTCTTCATGACACAGTTAGAGGTTGATTCAGTTTTTCTCTAAGCATCACTCGATCTGTACTTTTCAGATCTCATTTGTGCAAGTAAATAATTTCTTAGCAGTTATTAAAAAGGGTATTTTAAAAATGAGTTTGGGTTACATTCGTTTGCATATGTTTTTCATGCACAAAAGGTGTAAATTCCAGTGCCTCAGAATGTGTTCAATTGAATACTTTATCACCCTTTTGTATGGTCTTTGCATGATGTAAGGTACAGTGAGCACTGGAAATTATTTTCCACCTACCAGTTTTGATTGCAGCTTAAATGTACAACTTGCTTAAACTTGAGGAAAATTCAACAAAGATAATATGCATCTGTAGATTCAAAGCAGCTGATTGTCACTAGGTCTTTTTGTAGACATGAGCTGTCTGAAGAACACCTCTGCTTTACTTTTGCTTTTTGAACCAAAAAAATCCAAGTGCATTGTCAGAATTGTTTAAAATTCCTCTGAACGACAGTTTAACTCAAAATGAGAAAAAAAAAGAGCGTACTTGAAATTTTTTCTTTAGTAATTATTTTCAAATGAAGAAATTGGGAGTATTGTCTAGTTTTTATGCAAATTTTATGATCTAAAAGAATGATTTAACTGCTTTATAATGTATTTTCTTTCAACAAAGTAATGACTTTCTGCCTTCTGCTGGGTTCAATAATTGTAACCAATATGTGCAGTCATCAGTGTAGCTAAAATTTCTTCAAAGGAGCCTGTAGGTGTGTATTGTTCACTCTTTCATCAACTAGATTTCAATAAGATTTAGTCAGAGAATGGAAAGGTTTAAGTAACAAAAACTGAACTTGTTTTGTCTAACACAAGCAGTGAATAGGACTTAAATATTAAGAACTCCTGATAATGCTAAGGTATGGCTGTTATTACTAACTTGTATCTTTTATGCCTACTGTTGTAAATAACATGCAATCAAGTGCAAATATCTCGCAATGTTTGGACAGATGGTCATTTTGTTATGTAAAAAAACCTGTTTTACTGGTCAGCCATGCATGCTTTGCTTCTTTATCTGCTTTGTTTTTCTTGCCTTATAAGAAATGCATGCAAAATAAAGCAGTTGCATGGTAAATAACTTGTCAGACATTTTGGTGCATAGAATTGCTGAGTATTTTTACTTTTTGTTTGTAATTTGATTTGCCCCTGAAGGGCTTGTTAAAATACGGCACAACTTGTAAAAAATACTTAGCAAAACTACACACCAAAACATCTAATAACTAAAGATATTTATCTGTTAGGCAAGGTAGAAAATAACCATCTATTTAGTTCAGATCCCTCAAGAGTTTAGTTAGTGAGGTAGTAAGAGCAGTTGTTTCACTCTTTTACCTTTTATACTTGTACATCACCATAATACATCACCCATCGCTCTGACAAAGGGCTAATGCTCGAAACGTCAGCTTTTTCATCCTTTACGGTGGTTAATTTACGTTTTCAACTCAGTTGTTAACGCTAAATTACCTGCTATACTCTCCCACCAATGCAGCACCAAAGTTTCTTTAGAAACTAACCCCTTTATTCATTACAAGTCACTTGCACTACAAGTCTCTAGCTGAAATCAATTAATTTGCACACTTGGTCATTTTTCTTTCAGTTTAGGAAGTGGTACATTAGCTGCCTGGCCAGTGGCTCAATGGCTTGTGTTAATGTCTTGCTTTCCTGTGGAAATGATGACAAGGCATTGAAGCTTGACAGGGAAAGTACCTTTGATGAATTTAGAGCACAAGTGAAGTCTTTGTTTCCACATTTGCCAGAGGTCAGTAGAGGGTAACTTGACCTTAAACCATTTCACAAGCATCAGAATGATAAAGCCAGAAAGTAGGGAGAGCTCTGCCCCTTGTCTAAGAAAATCTGGGGACACACTCTCTACAGGTATTTGGCTGAAAATATCACTAGCACAGCATGGAATTGGTTTCATTGGCAAACTTTTAAGTCTTGGGATCTTTTACAATCATTTTTTTTTTATTATTATTAACCTTATAAATTGATTTGACATTACAGCAGTGGGACTTTTCCTTGAACCTTTACTTACACTGTAGTTAATTGGATTGTCACAATTGAGACTGAAATATACAATTCTGACAATTTCAAGTTTGAAAAGGAACTAGCTTGAGGACATTTTGAAAAATTTTAGTGGATGGAGGCTGCAGTTTCATTTGTACATAAAACACAACAGAGGCACTGTTGCCTTCAATTGTTTTAACACCATATTCATGCTATAGGTCAAATTAATGGCCAGATTAAATTATATCCAACCAATGTGAATAAACTGAATTTTAACTAACGTTTATTCATCAACTGGAAGACAATTTCAAAGCATCCAACCTCAGAGTAGATGAATTAGAAATGAATTTAAATCACGTTAAGGTAAGGGTGAATTAGATTTATTTTAACCCTTAACTCCTAAGATTTGATTGTTATTTCTCTCTTCTAGCTGATACACATTTCCATGTGAATTGGCCACGAGAATTTGGCATTAGGTCAAGATAACAACCCCTACCTCTAGTGATAAATTTGAGTATTCTCATTACCTGATAATGTATGGATAATAAAGAGATAAGTTACGTGATAATCACTTCTGAGAGTTTAAGGGTTGATGAAAGGTAGAAGCAGATATGCTTAAAATTTTGCTTACGGCATTTTGTTTCCTGTACACCTCTGTAATGTGATTTTCTTTTTGCAGCACTTTACAATCAGTGATGGAGACTTCAATGAGCTAGACTCTGGAAATTTTCATAATGTTAAAAACAGTAGGCTGGAAACATGGTGTCTGGTAAGGATAGATATGTTCTTCTGATGAAGAGTTAAATAAAAGTATTCAGGCAGGCAGTTAATGAACAGTTTTCTGAGATGGCAACAACAGATAGTTGTAAAACTTTCCCTCACATTTTTCTTGTAGGTTTTGGAGAGTGTGGCCAGTTAATATTAAACTTTCCACTAAGAGAGTTATTTCATAATTTGATAATTAAGTTATATTTTTTCAGCTCTTAAACATAAACAATCGCCTGCTCTTTACTTAGTATCAGAGTTGGGAAATGTTTACTGTTTTTAAGTTGCACCATCTTTCATTTGACAGGTGCGTAGCTCCAAAGATGAAGCATTCATACTGGACAAACCACACTCTGAACTGATGCGATATGATGTGCATCCCAATGCTCTCACTCAGAGTGGGAATTACCATTTCAGTGGTAAGAAGAACATTTAAGAAATGCATGTATGGCAACTGAAGAGTATTTTGAAAGATTGGTCCAATCATAGTTTACTGAGCAGGCACCTCTGCCCAGCAAACTAAGTTCTCTGCATGGGAATTCAAGCTCAACTTTGTTACTTCAAGCAGCCAGTTGGCAATTTAACATCATGAAATGGTCACTGGAAATAAAGTTTTGGTCTTCGCAAAAATGAAGACAGTGTATGACTTACCAACAAAACTTCTGACCACACTGGTTGACTGTGGAGATTTGCTTAACATCTCACTGCATAACACTCTAACTGATAATTTAGAAGAAAGGGGCAGAGTTGAATGGAGGAAAATAGCCAAACATGGGCAGTTTTTGGTGAAAATGATTATCTCACTCTGACTTTAGAGCATAAAAGCTAAGCTTTAAAAAGGTTTAGACTTGGGGACCTTTGAGAACAGGTTGCCAAAATGGCAACTTGCACTGCAGATTTAGCTGTCAAAATTTTTCTTGTCGCCATGGCAATAAAAGCTGTAACAGCCTAGAACATCGCTTTACTAGCTGTTGGCATCATACAATTGTAAGGAAGCAGATTCATATCCCCTTCTTTAGACAGACACTTACGAAACACCATTAAAAAGTAGATGTTTAAGTGTATATGTAGCACACCATTATTTAAGGTTTTGTTTTCCTTTCTACAGCCAGCTACCAAGCCTTTTGTGAATTTATTGACAACAGCATCCAGGCAACAAGTACTAACAACTGCAAGGACATGGAAAGAACAGTAGATATTCACATCTTCCTTAAAGATGTGAGTAAGATTATACTTTAATTTATAATCCTTTGAATCCTAAAAATGACTAACACTTAATTTCTCCTTACAATTTCGCCCCTAAATCAAACATGAAGGTCATGAGAATGAAGGAAATAACCGCCAAGAAAAGAAGCTCTTGATTGTTAAACAAATTCTCCTCATCAGCCCCCTAGGAAATTTATAGAGAACAGTATGAAGAATCTGTATACTGATGTTAAGGTGTAAAGGGTTAATTTGTGAAAAATCTTGTGGATGTTCCTTCAAATTGGACCACTTAATTGCAAGTTTTTGCCTCTGATCTAGAAACTAGTCGCCATATTTGACAATGGAGAGGGTATGACATATGAGGGTCTGAAAGCATTTGCGACCTATTTCCTGTCACAAGCTGATCGTGGCCTTGAAAATGAGGAAGTGGACCTTATTCCTGCCTATTTGGATGGCTGTATTTCCAAGTTTGGTGTCGGTGCAACACAAGCAGTAAGTAGTGAATTGTTTACACCTTTGTTTGTGAGCTTATGATGGTGGTGTTCATAAGGAGTAAATTTTCTACCAAGAGGGAAGCCACGGTGCTGACATTTACAATTTTTCCTTGCTGTTGATGTTTTTCAAGATTTTCTTTTTTGTTTTGTAACATGTGTTATTTGGAATGATTTGCTTGGTAGGGTTTCTACCTTGGCGATCGCATCAAAGTTATCACCAAGAGGGAGGAATGTCCATATGTTACGGAAATCTCTATATCTAAGGTAATTATAAAAAAATTTTCTGGTTCTGGACAATGAAAGCTCTAGGTCAAAGCTCAAGATGGAAGACGTCGAAATATTCAGATAAATTTTTCACTGAGTGTCAAGCAAGTATAACCGAGTATAATTTCCGCATCTGATTAGGAAAAGCTCCAACAGCGAGCGAAAGAAGGCAAGCCTGTGTTTGAGGACTACCGATGGATCAGAAATCCGAGCGACACCTCCACTTTGGAGCCTGGGGAGGAGGAAAGATGTCTTAAGAATATTGTGAGAAAAACTTGATTTACTGGAACATTACACAAACTATGTGTTATAAAGCTAGCTTTGGGTGAAGATGGCTGAATAGTGGTCGGGTTTTTTCAAGATTTACTTTAGATCTGGACAAAACGACTTTGGACACTTGATGGTATCCCTAGCTTGGGAGTAGGCCCTCATTCATAAGGGCTTCGATGCGAGCGTACTAGCGTATTTTCGTCCGCGGGAAAGTTTGAGGCCTCGAGAGGCGGCGAGAGGTTTGGAAGGGGACTAGTACTTATTATTATTAGTGCCAGACCCCCAGCTCGCCCCAAATCTTTCCGGGGACGGAGAAACGTGATGGTGGTGATTGATAAGAATTCTGGAAACACCAACACTCGTGAGTAACACTGAAATCAAACTGACGTATGCGTTTTCTTCGCAGATTGAGAGAGAGGCTGCATATTCCCAGTTTACAATGATCATCATCACTGGCATTCGGGACATTCATATCAATTCTATCAGGGAAGATGATGGGAGTAGTTTGGCTAGGAATCTTGCGCATGTCTATCACTTCTATTTGTTTGGCGAAAGAGGCCGATCGGGAAACATGAGACTTCCGTCCTTGGCTAACTCGAGGATCCCTGTAAGTCTGCGACTTTGATACGCTAAGCTGCCTCTACATTGCCTTGGCACGCTTTCTGTGCACTTGACAAGTTTTCCGTCGGAATGTAAAGGAAAAAATGACCAAGATTTTTTTGCAAGATTAATTTTTTTCCAAAATGTTGTCAGGTAACTTGCGATGGACTGGGTACTGGCAACGCTCAATGTCACTTCGGGTTCTTGTAACCGGGATAAGTTTCGGCCAAGTTTGTTCTTGGTTTCGAGTTTAGATACCACCTTTTACGTTTGGTACTTATCTACAAAGAACCAAAAACAAACTGCAAATCGTTTAGTTTAAAAGAGACCAAACGTCATTTGAAGAAGTCAGTGAAGTTGGTAAATTATACTGAGCACGTTACCGATGGAAGTTTTAGTTTCTCTAAGCTTAATGTATCACAGGCTTCTCGGGGAATTTAAAGGCACCCGTATCAAATATTGTATTTTGTCGTGTTTAGGGAAGTTGCTAATTTTTTTTTTTTTTTTTTTTTTGGTAATAATTTTTTGTCTCTTTTGCTTTCCAGGTGGAGTTTGGAATGAGTTCTTTTCTAAAGGTAGACATTAGTCTGGTGATTGATGACGGTAAAAACGCCAACCAAAAGATATTTTTTAATCTTCGAGAAATTGAGGATGATCTAGAAAGTTTGTACCAGACAAGAGCAAAGGAATGGTTTCCGTTTTCGCTGACCATGAAGGTTCCCGGTCTGGATCCGCATCAAACTGTTCAGGTAGGCAATGCGGTCCTCAATTAAAAAAGAGAAACTTTGGGAGACGTCTTACTTGGATTATTGGTTTGTGCGGTAGACTGTGTTTTCCGGCCTTTACCTGGTTATCCTGATTCTCTCTTGTGCGTGACACTGTCCTCTGACATTGCCTTCTTACACCAAGGAGTTAAAATGGGAACCAGTAACCGAGCAGGGAAACTTAGTGTAGCCTTCGGTAGAGAAGTATTTTTTAAGCCCGAATCGAATCGTCGTATCTTAAATTTCAACACGATTCTAGATCTCAGTGTCCTCCTTGGAATCTTCCGTAACCTTAGGGACGTGGCAATAGCGTGACGCGATCACAAACTCTCCTTTGAACCTAAGAAAAAGTATAATTCGAGGAAAAACTAGCTTTTAAACGCCGAGGTTTGACCTTGTTCGAAAGAGCAAAACACATGACCCGCAAATGACAGTTGACTCCTATTCCGAGAAAAAGTGTCGCCTATTTTAGTCACGCTGTGTCTTTTACTTTTTCAGGGAGTGCTGATGTACTTTCCCCATGAAGGCGGACACGAGACTCTCCCCCGGCCAGATGATATTGAAGATGATGCACAAGAGCCGATTTTTGAGTGTTTCTGGCAAGGCAGACTGGCTCCTTTATCTTATGTTCACAAGTAAGCTGGAAATATGTCATTCTAATCTAAAAAATAATTTTGATATTAATGATGATTCCCCTCTGACCTACTCGCACGAGCGCGAAGTCTCGCGTGTGGAGAAGGACAAACACGCTCTCTCCGCGTTTCAGATTTTCAAACCTTCTCGCTCACCGACTCCTGTGCTGTGCAGAAAGTGCGAAAAGGGCTGTTCAACGTTATATATGTTAATTCAGAAACTGGCCACAAATTGAATAAAATGACAAAAAAACTAGTATAATCAGCAAAAAGGCACGACTGGATAAAATTGAAGAAGGCCCCAACGGATTGTAGTTTTTAAAAATCATCTAGGCGAACAGTTTCTAAAATTTTATCTTTGTCAGGGACGGAACAATCCTTGCCAGAAAAATATGGTTGACTAGAGCTAGTATTAACTGAGGTAATTGCAGAAGTAGAACATAGGGAAAAAGGATTAAGGCATCGGCAGCTTGATTTTATACTCTTGAATAATTGTGGGGCGCAACTACTAACAGTGTTACGAAGCTAAACGATGGGTGCGATTCAGAAGTTAGTTTTGTTTTAACTTTTTTCCTTTCACAGAATGGAATTTTGCACGTCACCAGCGCAGCGATCCAAAAGGCAGAAAGACGTGGTGCCGGACAGCTGTTATCGCAGGCTCAAGGGAATCTTGTTCTTTAACAGGCATACGCCTGTGTCAAACAACAAGTTAAAAATCCTGTTGGACGAGAGGAAGGATTTGTCCAGCGCGCTAGAAGACGCTTCAACGGAGAGAAGACTTCCTCAGGAGTTTAGATCTTGGCTTGAAAAATGCCATCGAGAACTGGACAAAGAGGTGAGGCAGAAACTGCAAAAGTAAGGCAACGATTTTCAAGCAGAGCTGGACATTTTTCGTCACAGTATCGCGTTCTCAAACGTAGACGCTATCAAGTGGTATAGCTCATGACGTTGGATGTTGCATTTTGACCAAATGGTTCAAATCATAAGCAGCGCAGTATTCATTAACCCTTTAACTCACAAGATTTGACTGTCCATCCTCTAATCTAGCCGCTACATATTTCCTTGTAAATTAGTCACAAGAATGTTAGATCAAGACAATAGTTTCCGCTTGATAAGTTTGAGTATTCTCATTACCTGTTTGCAGGATTATGTTTTGATATATTATAGGGAGAAGTTACATGATCATGTCTTTCTTAGGTCAGCTTTGATACTCCGCTTCCAGCCTCTCAGCAGCTGAAGAATGGTGATGTGGCACATAGCGTGTTGCGCGTAACCACTAGCTCGGGAGTTCAAGTCTACAAAGTGAATGACATTGTCAAACTGGACACTAAACCCATCATTTATGGCAAAGTGTTGCACTTCGTTAAAGTCGCGAAGACAAATGAAGTTGACAAAGTTGTCGTGGAGAGACAACCGGAGGAGGTTAGTAGATGCCAAAGAATTAAATTCGTATTTTCATTGAAATTTTTCGCGTGGTTCTGTCACAGCGCTTTGGATGACGGGGCCACAGTGGTCATTTTGTTTTATAAAATAATTCAAATAGTACGCGCGCTCTGATTGACCATAAAACCATTTTACATGAGCGTATGTAAACACGGTTTTCGTTCCTTACATAGCCTAATGTAAACACGCGGGAGGTTAGGAGAACACGAGATAAGCGTAGGAAACAACGACGCGAAGCATTTCTTCAGTCTCGTTTAGCTTTTCAAGTATTACGTGACTTCTTACGTGGCATCTTGGTAATGCATTGGAGTGCGTTACCTGTACTAGGGGAATGTTTGTTACAGCGAAAGAGGTCTTTGGCGGAAATTTCTCATAGAGTTAACTTGAGTTTGTATCCTTTTGAAACACGAGCTGTGAGATAAGTACATGATATTTGTATAACGTAGTATTACATGCAGAAAATGTCTTAATCCTAGATGTAAACTCACTTGTTTATGTTACAATTAACCCAAAATATTTTTCTTTAGGTTTATCAGCATCAACTGGAAGAGAAACCAATTTCTAGAATTATAGAAATTCCCGATCAAAATACGCTGAGGAAGGTTTTTAGCCAAGAAAAGCAAGCACTTCCTAAGACAGGTAATATGCATTGTGTGTGAACACGTGTTTTTGTGTCACGTCACGCCTTTGTTTATCTCTTTGAGTAAAACACGTAACATGTGACCTAAAACAGCTTCACGCAACGTCTCGTCACTCTTTGTCGGACGCAGTGGTAAGAGCGCCCGCCTCCTACCGTTGTGGCTTGGGTTCGATTTTCAAACCCTGCAGCTCTCTACAAGTGTTTATCTCGTAGTTCCCAACTTTTCTCCCTGGTTATATTTCAATTAGATCCGCAAAAATTAGACAGATGGTCACCTTAGGAAGGACCACTGTTAAATTCTAATGTTGTTTAGTTTAATCTGGACACTAACTTACGTGTAAAATTATCTTCGATTCCTAGTAAAAGTATACGAAGACAACCTGATCAACGAAATTTCACCAAGAACAACATTAGAGTGGTTAGCTGGTGAAACTGAAGAGGGTTTCAATGGTTTCTGGGTAAAAATCTTTAATGGCGAACGACCTCAGAAACCTCTCGTCAGCTTACACAACAAGAAACTGTGCATTCGTCAGGTAATCGAGGGACCTGAGAACATGGCACCTGTTCAGAACGATCAACCGCACGACGGAGAAAAGTTTGGCTTCAAACCGTTTTGGTTGTCTGTGGCTGGAAGGTACTCTCTCAAGTACATTGCCATGCTAGGAGACAGAGAAATGACTTCCATGCAGTTTGAGATCAACGTGAAAGGTAAGAGACTGCTTCTTAAAACTGTAAATGTAAGTTATGTTAGAGGTTAAACCAAAGTTATCGCAGTAGCTAATTAGAGAAGAAAAAAAATACCCGAAAGAGCTAATGTAAAAGTAAAAATAAGCAGTTTGCCTAAAGCTCGGGAAAGCTCGGGAGAGCTCGGGAAAGCTGGGGAAAGCTCGGAATCAAACCACAATTGGTTTTCAATTTTGAATCTGAGTGTCAGAGAAAGTGGCGCGCGTTTAATGGAGTAATTATAGAGCGAGGTTGATTGATACCAATGCAACTCCGGATTAATTTCGACACTCAGTTGATTATTACTCACAGGAAAATTTAACGAGTTAAGTATGGAGGGAGAGGGGAAATAGAATCATTGATGAATTAGCATCTCGTCCAGGAGAAGAAGTAATATTTCTGTTGGCTTCCTGTTGTGATAAGTGAGATATTTTCCAGCAGCACTCAGCCTCTTCTCTCATTCAACCTTTATAGCATTTCTTTGTTCTTGCTGTATCCCACTCAAGGTGAGTCAAGGCCGAAGGATGAAACGTACTTCGTTATTTTTGCCTCTTTGCAGCTAATATCGCATCCTACTTCAAGGTGACGGAACCGTCAAGCAATGAAACTCCACAGCTCACCCTTGGAGAGCCAGAGCTTAAGTTCAAACTCTCGTTTGTCGACAGCAAGAATAACGCCGCTACTAGGTTCAGTTCAGGAGAGTTTGTCAAATTAGTGGTGTCGTGCCCAAATATGGAAGTGCAAGGTGTCAAAGACAAATACAAGCCGAACAACGACGGAGTGCTCGAGGTCAGCGGTCTCACGCTCACTCCCAGTGGCTTGGGAAAAGTTCATTATGGACGCGATCAACTTATCAAAGTAGATGTCACAGGAATAGACTTCGTTACGTTTCCAGTTCGAATAAAGGCGGGTTAGTGGTGGAAAAATTGTTGTTTTTTTATGGTTCTTATTTTGCTTAAGCGCTAGACACACAGAAGTAGTAACAGAGTTAATCGTTGTAAAATTTCGTTTAAAAAACCATGAAGATTCCATATTCTTGTTTCCAGACATTCTTAAATGACGTTTTTTTGGTCATAGAGAACCATTACCGGTGCTTGTGAACAGATTTTAGGTCTTTCACACAAAGTAGCCAGTGGTTTGATATTTCAATAATGTAGGGGGAAGTCTTGGAAACTTGTCTTCTTGTGGATATCCACATTAACTTGAAGTTGTTCTTTGCAGCAGACTGCGCTATTGAGAAAGTACCTCAAAAAAAATCCTGTTTTAACTCCAAACAAACTCATTACTGTTACATTACTTAAGTGTGACAGAGTGTATTGGAGTTTTAACAGAACTCCGTTTTCAATCAACAACGATAAGTCGCACTTTTCAAGTTAATCGCGTTTAGTCGCAGGATTGTAACTTCGATAGTATCTGAGCAACAGCGCACCTACCCCTCCCCTAACCAAACTTTAACCCTGGCTTGTTATTGGCTGGCTGTTGTTGGGTTAGTGGAGGGGTAGGCGCGCAGTTTCTCAGATACTGACATTCACCCGTTACCTCTTAGTGATTTTGTATTTCTATTTTCCAATATCAGGTCAACCACAAAGTGTTAAACTTCCTCAGTTCGAAACGACAGAAGTTGCAAACTACGACGAATTTCCCGAGTTTGTTCTTCAAGTACTGGATCAGTGGAATCAACCTTGCTCCGTGAGCGACAAGAGAATGAAACTCCATGCAGATTGCGAGGCATTCGTTGGGGGCCCACATCTCGCAAACATAGAGCACGGTCAGGGTAGATTCTCTGCTGTTAAAGTCAAACTCCCCCCTGGCAAAGCACCATGTACTGTTAAAGTTAAAATATCACTTGTCACTGTGGAAAGCAACAGGCGTAAACTCACTGTGAGCGAAGTTTTGAAGGAATTAAAACAGTTTAACATAAAAGTTCTTCCGAGCACTTTGCCTCATAGAGTGTTAGTCTGCGAAGGAAACCAAAATGGATTAACAGTTACCAATGGAGTGGAACCTAGGGAGAGGCGAGACTGTTTAGAGTTAACGGTTCCTGCGGGGTCCATCATCAAGGGACTGTTCTTGAAAGTGTTCGATGAAAGTGGGAAACTGCTGGATTCTGAGGGCTTGAAATATTTAGATCTCAGAGTAACCACAACGTGGAGCGGCGAGGTAAGATAGGAGCGCTATTTGGAAAACGTTACTTACACACAGTTGTGAAGAGCAGGTTTCAGTGGAGTATCCAAGTAATCACAACGGCCAACCAAAGCAAAATTCAACATCATTATGAGCCAATGAGAAGTTAAACTACGAAAGGCAAACTGCTTGAAGCGCGGAAAAAACACGAATAAACAAATTGCGATAGGTTTCAGTTTTGCATCTGTTTGGTGGAAGGTGATAGGAGTCTTTTTTGGACCATTCACAGAGCAAAGTGAAGCAAAACCAACTCAGTCTAGGATTACTTTTAATCTCAATTGAAAACTACTGCAAAGGTTGTTTATTTGCCATCCATGTAAATCGTCTGAATCATTATTTTCCCTTAATTTTCCTAATTTAATATTTGTCTTCCTTAATGGCCTACCGTGTGACATGAAAATTTTTCGGATTGGCAATTTTTTTGTATGTTTTGGGAAAATTTTTTGTTTCGACTTTTTGCTTGTGGAAAGGTATTTTTTTCGGGAATCAATGACATTATGGAATTTTCCCCAAATTCGAAGCGAGATGAACTCGTGGACATACTGTGCCGCATAAACGTGAACTTAGAAGATAAAGTTATTTTACCATAAGCCAATGATTCCTCGATTCCAAGAAACAGAAATAAGCCGTCAGCCCCACATAAGTTCTCATGCTCTCCCCAGACTCCTAAAGCCGGACTAACGCGGCGAAATTTGCTCATCGAATCCCCGCATAAATCGTTCCTATGTTTCCTACATACACTAGTAAAATGTTTTTGGTAAGGTTTTCTGTTGGATTTAACGAAAAGTTTCAACTAGCCAGAGAACCCTTGTTAGTGCTTCAGAACTTTGTTAATCCAAGTTATTTGTTGTGTACTTCCAAGGTACCGAACAAGAATCTTCCGTACTTGCCTGACTGTCCTGCATCCAATAGCGCCAACAATGCCTATGTGCATAACGTCGAGTGCGTGTGTAGCGAAGTTAGATGTCGAACGCAGATCAGGATCAAGGCTCTAGCGGGTAAGTTGACCTATAATGTGTAGGAAAGGCAAACAGTTGGGTTCCGTTACCTCAAATTGTGTAGCCCTACGTGATGTAGCTAGAGGCGGTGGTGCGTGAGAGAGGGGGTTTAATGGTTTTTGTTGGTTTTGCCATTTTCAGCCTTTGTTCGCCAGTTCAACATTCAATTTAAAAACAAATCGCCGATGATGTTGATGATACTACTAGTCATGATTATGATAATTACCATAACAAAAAGTAATTTGTAAACGCCCCGTTATTTTGAACTTGCCGTTAAATTCCCTCACCCAGTGTCCATTTAAATACTTAGCTTTCCCAAGACATACTCCGGATGTATTGAGCTACCCCACCCCTACCCCTGCCATCCCTAGCTGCCTTCACATCCCGGTCGTGTTTGGGATGTGACGGGAGTCCGAGATCGAAAATGTCGGGTTCGACTTCTCCTTTGAATTTTCCTATGCCCGACGCTCGCCAGAACTTCCCCCATAAATCGGGCACAAGAGAGATGATTCTTCAGTTGATTACTCTCCGTTTTCTAGTCTTGTTTCGTTTGTGTTAGGTCACTTAATTTAGTTTATTATGTATCTTGAATTAGGCGAGCCACAGAAATGGTTGTTCTGTTGTGAAACAAATTCGTTGGAGATTGAGTGCGACAGCAAGAAACAGCTGACCCAGAAGTTGAAAATACAGCTTAAGGATAATCTGGGCAACTCTGCTGAATGTCCCCCGGATGTGGAACCGTTGGTGTCTGTTGAACATTCGCCAACCAGAAGGTGAACCATCGTATTTGCTTGTAATCTCGCCCGAGTCTGCTTTACTTTTAATAAGTGATCAGTCATAAGGGGAGGGGTAGGGATGAAGGATTTGGGGTGCGTCACTTTAAAATTTACCTGATTTCCCCCCACAGACTCTTAAGTGTTCTGATGAAACCCCCTCATTGACAGTCGATTCCTGTAAACCCCCTCTATAGCCTGTTAGCGACGACTGATTCCCTCCTGGAAACCATCCTCCCACCAGGTGATACATTATGACTGGACTCTAACGTCGTCGCAGTAACGTCTTCTCTCCCTGCTTGGTGGAACTGCTAAGATTCTTTAAGATTCTAGTGCTGTCGTTTGTCTCACGATTTAGTCACTTTCGATGTGGATCGCGAGGATTCGACTGCAGCAATGCGTGACATGTTGCACGGGTAAAATGAGATGTTACCCCAACAACAGAAACAGTGGAATAAATATCTCAGAAGCATGGATCTCCATGACCTAGAAACACCTGAATGGGAGAGCTACACCAATGAAGGAACACAACATCGTGATGAGCCAATTACAACAGCTCAAAACCAGCCAATCACAGCGGAGCATAATGCTTCGCCAGTTGACGAGTGAATAGTCGACCTCTTTGGCCGAAAAAGCCCATTTGCATTCAGAAGAAACGTCGCTATCTTCATCGGAAGCGACTTAACTTGGAGGCAAACAATTACACTTAAGTGTGATCGTAGTATTTCACTTCGATTAATTACCCACAACCTTTTTTTGTTTTCCTTCTTTTAATTTAGTGGAGGCACCGCTATTTTCATTGGAAACCTGATCTTGAAGGGAACGGAATTTGTGTTCAACAACGACGCGACAATTTCAGGCCAGCACGGTGTTGTAACGATGTGTGTGAGTGACAAGAATGGGAGGTTCACTAGGGATACTCAGAGAATCAATCTCAAACCAGGTGAGAGGAGATGTGAGTTACAGAAAAGTGACAAAAAGGGGTTCGAAGGAATACGAACTAAGAGTTCCTTGACTAAGAGGTGCAAGAAAGAAAGCAGAAGTGAGACGTGCCATTGGTGAATTCGGCTTGAATTTTTATACACCAAAATAACAGCCAAGTTCTTCTCTTAATGATGAATTCATAAAAGTAAATCTTCAAATTTTCATGAGAATCAGAATCAAACTCTTGAAAATATGTGATTCAAACTTGTCTTTCTTAGGATTAAGTATGGCTATAACCGCAACTTCCCTCCCTAGCCAAGATATTCCACCTAAGATATTCCACCAAAGATATTTCCTTTTAAAAACTTTGGGGGTTCAATGAACTCGTTATGATTTATGGATTTCGGATGTGGCTTTTTAAGAAGAATTTTAAAAAATGATGCCTATGTAACTGCAGTGACTATTCGGCGAAGTATTTCAGTTTTTCCACTGATTAGCCTGGTTTTGGCTGTTGTGTTAAAAATGGTTTTAGCTGCATATCCCTTATTTGTCGTCATGCTTTTTCAGGTGCTGCACATCACATTGAGTTGAAAAGCCAAGCGTTTGATGATCCCTCGCAGAAACACGAGCACACAGCCAAGCTTTTCTCAAACTGCTTCTTCAACGCTCCTATCCACGCCTTCGTTTGCGACAGGTCAGGGAACAAGACAACCATCCGTACGACACTGAACTTGTCCTGGGTTCCAGCCTCTTGTGGAGTTCTTTTGCAGAAGAAAACTCAAAGGGGTGAGGCGGTGTTTGAAGCGAATACACTGAAATGTGGCAGCCGAACTGGTGACCAACAGGTTAAACTGAAAGTGTCCAGTCCAGATCACAAGAACTTAGGGGTAAGAGTTTCAGCGTGAACTAAAGTATATTGATTTCTGACACTAACATTAATGGCAGCCCGTCTCTTTAAGTACTAATCGTTAATACTTGCCCTATCGGAAATATTGAATCCTTAAACAGAGTTAAGAAAGCTATTAAGGCTTTTTTCTTTGCCAAAGTTTTAAATCATTTGCATGCATATTTTATGTTTCTATATTTCTTAGCTAGCAATTTTTTTAATTTTTAGCGTTAATATCTAGGTGTAACTGAATTTTTAGCATTATAATGCGTAATTGAAAATTTTTTCATCGATAATTGTGCAATTTAAGCCAAGAAATTATTATAATCCTTCTTTCTCTTCAACAAAATCTTCCCTAATTTCGATGTATGTAAGTATTTTTGAATTTGTTCATTTAATTTTTCGCTCGTTCCCTCTTCCTTTCTTTCATCGACCTATTCCTCCTTTTCATGTTTTGAAGTATTCATTGTTTAATTTTGCAGGTTGCAACTGTTACAGCGACTTTGGAAAAAAGTAATCGAGTGAAAGCTGTTGTGGTCCAGGTAATCGCTGATCAAGAACTGCAGGCCACAGGGTGTTATCCAGTGTTAAAGGTATGCACTTCATGTTTTGTGTTTGTTTAGCTTTATTGTTCCGTATGATTGGTCGGGCAAACTCGAGCGATCCTCTTGACCAAAGAAATGCAAAGCTGCAACTAGTCGCGACTTGGCCACCCGCGTTTTTCCCGCTCTTTTGGCAGTGTACCTGTTTATAGTTTGAGTTCTTATTAATTGATGTCGATTCCTTGTTTTCTATGAAGGTCGATTGCCAAACAGATGATGGAGTTCGAGTAGATGCGGTCAACCATCTCAACCTCGAAATTACTCGTCCAAACGGCAGCAATGTATCTTCTGTCTACCGGAAGCCCACACAGGACAGGACAGGCACGATCACCTTTCAATCAATCGCAAACCGTTATTTGGAGGAGGCGGGGCGGTGGTCAATCATCTGTCAGTTTACCGAGCACAGAGATAGGCTTAAATCCGTGCTGTCGCCGGCTGACCACGTGATTAGGAGTAACCCAGTTTATTTTGTGGTACAGCCAGGTACGAGCATCGCGATTGAACCGATTTTATTTCAGATTTATGATATATGTTGCATTTTTTTGTCGACATTTTTGGCCTTAACAAAGCTGGTTGAATAAAATCAATAGTGACTTTTTCTGTATCTGTTTCTAGGCCCTGCTCAGAATCTTGTGTTGCGGTTTGCATCCGGTTCACCTGGGGTGATTACAGCATCATGCACTGCAGACGTCAAGGGCCGTACCATTCTTCCTCGACCTGCAAGAAGGTTAGTGGTGCTGAAGTAAGTCTGGCTAGGAATGGAAAACTCTGTTTATGGCCGTTTTTATTTAAGGGAGAAGGTACTTAAGTGAAGTCATGCGTCGTACTTCACATAGGCTGAATGAAATTCAAAAATCAACTTAGACGGGAAAATTAGATGCTCTCGACGATCTTAATTCCGGCCAAACTTAATTCATTTCCTGTGGCTTCAGTGAACCTTGAAACTACAATAATACTGTGTTTAAATCGTGGTTAAGCGTGCTGTATAAATCGAAGCCACTTCGGTGCCGTTAATACCGGCTAAACCAGAAGTCAAAAACATGGCAGCCACTCTGAATTTATTCAGCCGTTTCAAATTAGTGTAATCCCGGCTTTGGCATGAATATAGTTCCCTGAATTCGATTCTGCTCTTTTGAGGCTCGGCATCTGAAACTAGCCTTTTTAAGTGTGAAATATGGATCCGTATCTGATGTCCCTGATGTCGTTCTTTTCTCCTGTAGCGGAGTAGAGGTTGTAGACATCGTAGCGGAGGACCTATACAGCAACATCGCTGATATCTCGACCGAAGTAAGCGTTACAATTCAACCGTCAGGGCCTGTGCCCAAGGACGTGGTCCTTCCTGCTTTGGAGAACAAGCCGGTCCGAATCGCTCTCAGCCACGGTATGGCTAGGTTACCGAGGCTTACTCTCTGCAGTCGTGTTGGTAATCATATTGGGGATTATCTGTTGGTGTTCTCCGCCCCTGGTGTTCAATCACAGTCTGTAAAGTTTGCGTTTAGTACAGGTAGGTTCTTTTTTGTCTTGTTTAGGTGGAAGGAGTTCAATTTGAGAAACGCCAATCAGTTTGTGGAAGCATATGCAACATTTTCTTTTGTCCGACCGCGCTGAGGCAACGCGCAATGAACACCATGTTATTTTGAACTTGCTGCCAAATCCTTGACGTTATTTCTTAGTAATAGTAATGGTTGTGATGATGGTAACGATAACGATGATGATAATGATAACAGTCTTGTTAATTATGATTGCAATGATAACGAGAATAATGTTAATAGTAATTTTAATGGTGGTAATATTGGTTTTGATTCTAATAATGGAGGTACCATCTCAAAGGGTTTTGTGATGTGAAAACTTAAGCTAAACTAAAGCTTATCAAACCTGTCTGGGTTTTTTTTTTTCAATTTCACAGTTATGTTAACTCAACGATGAGCTTTCTATTACAGATGAACACATTCAGCGCATACAGAACGAGTTGCAGCCACTGAAACGGCAGATCACAGATAACGAGCATAAGGTTACAGAAGCTAAACGAAGGTTGACTCGGTGCCACTCGGAAGTGGCGACGGCACTCACCCCTGTTCAAAGTGCGTTCCGAGGAGAACCGAGGAGAAGAGACGTGGAAACTCTGCTTCAGACCAGCAGACATGAACTAAATCAGTTTGAAGCGAATCAGGCTAATACAAGACAAGCCATCATGCAGCATGGGCATCCTCCGGCGAGGATTCGTCAATACATTAAAGGTTTGTCCATATTTCGGATGAGGAGATAGGGTTGGGGAGGGGGCGTAACCTAAATCTCTGCGCGTTGGACTGGACGGGAGAGTTCAAGGTTGAGGAGTTCAGAGTTCAGGACAGACTAGCATCCCTCTTATCCTGGATAATTATGGTCAAGTTCTTTGACCCTAGAAGTGACTGGCAGCTAATTTCTCCTAACATTATCACTGCTGAATAAAACGTTAAAGTGACGAGAATATAAGAAATGATCACCAACTAAAGCTCTTGATTGTTACTCTAATTCTCCTTTTCAGCTCTCTAGGGCATGTATAGAGAACATTATAGAGAATGTGCACTCTGATGTTAAAATTTAATGAATGAATTTGATTTCTTCCCTTATGAGATTTTCAATCTTACTTAATTATTACCTTACTTTGGAGGACTTAACTAAGTTAAAGGAAGTTTTGCGCTGCTTAAAAAAGGGTGGTGAAATTCAGAGCAGTGAAGGAGGTTGCAGTCTTTTAGCAGCTTTTTGCGGAAAATTGGGGCGTTGATCGATCGATCATTTATCGCTTTAGTTACTGTTTTTCTTATTTTGTAACGTCACGTTGGAGCGACAAGGGAATCTTGGAAGTTGAACATTGTTCGGAGACGATTACGATATATAGATTAAGACGAGCCATTGGTGTCAAAATTACTTCGCCGATGTTTTTGCTTGGTTTGTTGATAAATTAATTTATCAATTCATTCTATTAGGTGTTGTCGCTGAGCTTGCGTTTGTCTCTGACCCGTTACTTGCTCGCATCCTCTCGTGGTACCTTCAGTCTAAAATGTCAGTCACACTCACTTGCACCACAGAACAGCAACGGAAAGTCTACGACGCAGGGTGTCCGGCTTATTGCGAAGCCACATTATTGCCTTTCACAAAGAGAGACTTTGACGGAAGTGATGGCAAACGTCTTCCTCTTGAGCTTCCATCCCCGCCTTCTAACTATCGTAGCCCCATTGAATTCGCAGTAAATCTCCTTGAGTTTACCAGCGACAATGGTTACCTTCGCTCGACCCTGTTCTGGAACCTTCTGTCGAAGACAATAGTTGTCAAAGACCTTAAATCTGGCCAGGCGTACCGAGAACATGTCACCAGAATGAGGCAATCATGCCCCACGATTTTGACACGTGATGGGAACATGATCGCCTCCGACGGCTTGATGGATCCGAAGAGATGCTGTCCGCAGAGGTTAGAAGATTTGAAATTTGCGTTCGGGGCGTTACCTGCTAGGGAGACGAAGCATTACAGGGATCTGAAGGAGAGATGTGAGGCGCTCGAAAGGCTTAATGCAACGGTGGTAAAATACGAACGGGAAATGACAGATGTCCGCGCTAAAGAAGAGCAGCTGAATAATGCCAAAAAGAGTTTAACACCTCGTATAAACGATCTTGAAAGAGAACTTAAAAAACTGAGAACTCTTGAAAAAGAAAGGGACAACAGTGAACCGTCTGAAAAACGGAGGAAAAGATAACCATAGAGTTATTATTTCTCGCTATTGCTTAAAACATTTCTTGGTAAGCTCAGTGATACAGTTGAAGGACAGATTGTCCATCGTTTTTACACGTCTCTGTGTAGTCTGTCGGTTGTATTTGGTGCAGTTTTTATGTCGGAATCTGGTGCCCTTACTCTTTTTTCATGTCTACCTTGGTTTACAGTGCACCGTTTTAGAGAAATCTTTATACAGTGGCAAATCTGTGAAGCGTGTGTTGATATGCGGTAGAATCTTAAGTGTTTTTTGGTATTTTGGTATTTCTACGGCTTCGTTCATTTTAGCAAAGAGTTTCTAAAGTTTATTTGTCATTTTAGACATATTTTTACTGCTGGAACAAAATTTGTCATAAGATTTTTAATTGTTTGTGATCAGTTACGGAGGATACGTAAATGTTCATTGTATAAATCAAGAAAATGCTGAAGTGGGAGAAGAGTACCCATTGATTTCTTCGTAAGGCCGACTGCTTAAATCGTTTTAGTTTTACTTTTTTCACATGATTAAGCCTTGGGTTGCATGCTTTTTGTGCAACCAAGTTGATACGGTTTAGATTTGCCTCGTTATGTTGGTGTGTTAATCAAGTTAGCTTGCAAAAAAAGTTTTATCTCGTAATAACCTGCGCCCAACGTCGACAAGTTTGGCAAAGTCAACCGCACCCAGTTCCAAAAGTTTAGCCTACGGTCTTTGACGTAGGATTTATCCATTGATCGTTTCTCTAAGAATTTATTTTAATGTAATGATTCGAGTAAGTTAATTTATTTTTATTCCATTGAAGTATTATTTAAAAGTACGAAATTATTGTTAGGTTTTATTTATTAAAGAGTTCAAATTTCCAGAAGGCACTATTATTATTCGAATTGAAAGTGAAACTGTCCATTCTTTTTATTTGCGCTAAAACAGTTTTACAGGTATTGTCGGTGCAATCTGTTTTTCCAATCCTTTTTGCAGATTTGTAAAGACTTTGTTTGTTTTGTTTTGGTATACTTTGTGCTTAGTAATTAATTGTTATTCCTAAAATAATAAACGAAAATACTAAGAATAAAAAGCCAAAACAGTTTGCAGGTCTGCGAAACGAGCAACGACTTTGTTACCAACGCGATTTGATCGCGTTTTGCGGCCGGTTGGAGCGGCCTTGTTTGGTTTCAGCCATTTGACTATAATTAGAAATAGATGTATTTTACCCTTTTGACAGGTTGACTGAACACAGAATTTTTCCCATATTCAGAAGATTACATTGACATCTCCATTTTTCTTAAAGAGTTTTACAAGAAATTTTCAAAGTATTGAACAAAGTTCTTAAGTGTTCCAGCTTTAGGAAACTGCTATTTATTTATTGTTAGCTTAAAAAAAAGAAATTGTCATACGTGCGCGTGTTCAGTATTTTAAACGAGTTGTAATTTGTTGGCATTCGCCACCTTGGATTAAAAACCACGAAAATGAGTTTAAGTCTGAAATCAACGTTTCTTTTACCTTTATAGCCTTGCCACAGTCAGAATTCGGACATTATGGTCCGTTTTTGGATATGCGCGTCCGTTTTTTGACACCAGCTTCCGTTTTTGGACATTAACTTTCGTTTGTAGACACTGGTGTTCTTTATTAGACACTAAAAAAGAAACTAGCGTCTGTTTTAGGACACTAACTTCCTTAAAGAACACTATTGTCCACCATTTAGACGATAGATGAATATTGTTTAAAGAGCTTTAACTACGGACCCAAAGTTACGATTACAAACCCAAAGTTCGTAACGATAACTTTAGATTCTTAATTTTGCATGCGTAGTTGTAATTATATCTTGTGTCAATAATGGGCTCCTGATTCCGTATACTGATCAACGATTTCGAATAGCATCGGCCGATTTCGGTTGTTTGTTAAATTTTGCAAGAGAGGCAAAACGATTGTATTTTGTTGTTGTTGTTGTTTTTTCTTGTTTTGTCTTGATTTGGAGTAGTGTGTTGCAAATGTCGAGCTGGCGCTGCACTTGTAGTTGTAGTGGGATACCCTAAAATCGCCATTTGTAACCCCGCCTCCCTGATGCTCAGGCACTCGATTTCCGGTTGGTATCTCCTTTCCAGTCCATTTTCCGCTCAGCTGTAGCAACCAATCGTTGGATTGGTTTTTGGTCACATGAGCGTGGTATAAAGGTCAGTAGCAATCTTGATTAAGATCAGTGCACATGATTATCGAAGATGGCGAAAGTGGAGAAGGAAACCGTGAAAGTAAGTTGAAATGTGTAATTAAATGTGATTGAAACTCTAGCCCTCTTGTGCAGATATCCACACCTACACTTAAGTTGCAATATTATATTATTACTTTACCGGCGTGTTCTTAGGACAATAGTTACCTTTTTTATTTCACTTTCAACGAATCTTTCTAGCTAACCACGTGGTCCATGGCGGTAGCAATTTCACGTCAAAATTGTTTCAAAACAGTTTCACAAAACGACAAGAAGTACTAAAAAGAAGTGTAAGCGTTCAGAACTATCGAAATGTTCAGTTTTACCACTTCAAGAACGGAGCGCAAGGGATACAGAAACAGAATTTTCCTAACAAGCTTTCGCACATCACAACCGCGTGTTTCAAATCGGTGGAACGATTAAATACAAACTTAAAGCGATATTATATTAGTTCGATTATTTTATCCGGTTTATGTATGAGGTGACTTTCCCACATTGCAACAACGCTTTTGGGTGACATTTTCCTTTGTTTCCCGCACTTACGTATGGAGAGCGTGTGTTGATGTGTGTAGTTGGCGACGTTCTTGCTGTGGTCGCGGATGCTAAAATCCAAGACTAACCCGAATGGGGGCTGGTAACTGATTTACAAGGAAATGCGTAGCAGCCAGAGGGGAGTTGTTTGTCAGTGTCCCAGCTAGTGATGACAAAAAGATGACGAGCCTGACATATCTTTGAAGTATCACGTTTTGTGTAGCTTCTCTGGAACAGTGATGTCGAATCGAGGCATTTGTCTGAGGCTGGTAAAGAGACGCTGAACAATTCCTGGTAATAATTTTTCACCAGAGCTCACGTCCTTTCAACAACTTTAAGGGTATTTGTGTCCTGGATTTGCAAATCGTTTAGTTTGGTGAAATTGTGAGATTGTATGTATCTCAAATTTTTTTTTTCCTTTCTCTATTTTTTTTCTGTTAAGGTGTTGGACAATTCCACTAGAGGTGGTCTTTGGCTATAAAAAATGTAACCAGCAATAAGGGACATTTTTCCTCAATGGTGAGCAGTATGTGAGTCAGTAATGAAAAGTAATCATTGTTGCTCACAATTAAATTGTTAATGTTCTTTGCTTGGTTTGTTATGTTTAAAAAATGCTTAATTAACCCTTAAAAAACCAAGATCTCATCAATGATTCTCCTTACTGTCTGCCAAACGATTCTCATCATTTAATTTGGAGAATTTGGTATCGGATCAATTAGTAATTCCAATATTTGATATTTTTTCTTTGTTCTCATCACTTGTCTGCATGGTATTTTATAGATGTAGTAAGGAGAAATTCTGTCTTGATCACTTATGAGAGTTAAAGGGTTAATGACCATAGCTTTTTCTTTCCAAAGCATATGAAATTCCTGAAGTGCTACTCGGGAATTTTTTGAGCATGGTGGTTACTGTATGTAGAGTGATCATTCTCGTTGAAAAGTTAAGCTGATAAGTTATATATAATCAGGTGTTGATCAGATTGTTGGCAGTGGTCAAAAGTTATCAGAATATGTTTGTTATCTTAGACATGATATCATTCTCAGAAATGCAGGTATCATTGATAAAACAATGAGATGCATTTGACTTAGGAAAAATTGGCTGGTGTATTTCGCAAAGCATGTGATAGAATGATGATGCTTTAGACTAGAGTCTCTGAATGACACAGTCTTGAAGAATTCTTTGAACACTCTGACTATCACTGTTTAATGACATTAATATTTCTTTCTGATGGTAGTACCTCTATAACTTACAATTGACATGGCCATAAATGGTGTTGGTTTCAGGTCTCCACAAGTTAATGCATTTATATCTTACAACAGCTTCCAGGTATTTTGGACTTCTTTTCTTGTAGCATGGTAATTAGATGCAGGAACACACAGTGAAAATTTGCTTGGTGTGCATGGATAATTTTTGTGAAAGAATTTATCCATATAACAAGTTTTGTATGGAAATGTGTTTAACAAGTTCAAACTCATTTGAAGTTGTTGCAAGGGTAGAATAGAGATGAAATGAGTGAAAAAACTTGTATTGGAAGCAGCACACACTAAGCAGGTTGCTGCTGAGAGGGCTGCCTAAAACATATAAATGAGGCCCTCTTTGGCAAACTTCCAGAAGAAACCCTTTGGGTAAAAGCAAGTTATATCTGATGAAAACCCCTTTCTGACACCTCTTGTATGAGTGCCCATGTTGCACATTGAACGCAATTTTATTCTGAAATGACTTGCCACTTCTAGGTTACACACCATTTTAGTGAATGATACTTAAAATTAATTTGTGCATTTATTTGTTTCAGTGGCATTTTGATGAGGATCTTTTGTATCCCTGGTTTAAGGTTAGTAGTAAGGTCTATGTATATAACCAAAAGTGTTTGGCTCTTTGAGTCAAGAACAGGTGGAAATTTTGCTGGAGAAAAGATGACCAAAACCTTGCATTTTGGTTGCTGCAAGGGTTTTTTTTTAATCATGCTGTTTTTGGAGCAAGATGTTTTATTGGCTATTTAACCCTAAAACTCCTATGAGTGATTAACATGTAATTTCTCCCCATAACATCCACACATTATCCAGCCTACACGTTATGAGAATACTCAAAGTTATCAGGTAAAAGTTAGAAGTCTTGATCTAACACCAAATTCTTGTGATTTTTTTACAAGGAAATGTGAAGCAGCTAGAGGGGAAGATTAACAATTAGATCTTGGGAGTTAAAGGGTTAAAATTTATGATCAGTCATTACTAACAAATTTTTCAACTTTTGAATTCTTTGTTTGTGTGAGAAAGCACATTACCTGCCCATTGTTTATTTGGTATGAGCATCTGAGAGAAAAGAGTATAGGAATGTAGATACTCCATAAAATGTGTTTAAATGCCTCTGTTTAAGCCAGGTTAGCATACAAAATTTAAGGGTAAATGCTGGTATCAGCAGATTGTACTGCAATTAGAGCACACTCTTTTACAAGTAATGTTGATGTTTTTGGAGAGTTATGATGAGAAACTTTCAGTTATCCCTGTCATATCAATGATGCTGATAAGTCACGTCAGTCTGATTCTCTCCCTGGACCATCTTTGAACTTGTTTCTTCATTCTACACTGTGTGACAAGCTGAAATGTCTCTTTCAGATGCTAAGGGGATAGAAGTGGCCAGGCAGATCAAGCAGCTGGTAGGGTGTGTACAAATCCCTTTTATTGTGCTAATGGTTGTTTCAAGGTAATAGTGAGCAAAACAAGAACTGTTGCAGAGTGATGAGCAAAACTTTTTTCCCCATCTTATCGACAATGAAGAGAACTCTTTTGTCACTTTGTGACCAAGCCAAACCTCTCTGACTGCATCATATTCTTGTTTTTTTTGGAAATATGCACTGTCTACTGTCTAAAAATTTCTTTGAGCCTCAAGAAAAGAATGTTTCCTAAGAAAGTCACTCGAACTCTACAATGAAAAGTCTGTTACATGTGCAATTGATTTACAACAGTCATTTTGATTTTCTTTTATTGCAGTTCACTTGTTGCCATTTGGCCACAGTGTCATGCTTTGCATGAGAAACCTCTTTTTGAAAGGTGATTCATCTGTGTTTGTGTTTTCTTTTCTTTTTTTTTTTCCCAAATTGAATTTTTCAACCAGAATGATGATGTTTTGCCATTTTCGCAGTTTCCACCAGAAAGATTTCTATATCTTAATGTTGGTTTAATATCCTTGGATGTCTGACTGGTTGACAAGATTTACTTTTTTTTTAATTTTTTTGAGTTGTGCTTCTACCTTCATTTGAACAAAGTTTGACAGACTCGTGATATGATTTTAGGCAAACCTTGGTTGTCAATGAAGATCAACAGTGTCAAAAAACAGGAACTGAGGTGAACACTCATTTTGATGCATTTCTTTTTGTTTTCTGTGGACTAGTGTGATTTATTGATGTTTTAGTCATCATAGTTGTGTAGGTGTGATGTTTTGACTGGAGTAACCTACTAATAAACAACTGGCATGATGATTTCTAGCCATGTTCGCAGTTTCCACCAGAGAGATTCTATGTCTTAATGTTGGCTTATTATCCTTGGATGTCTGACCAGTTGCACATTTTCATGACTTAAGTCAAGTTACAAATCTTTTTATCATATATTTGACCTGGTATTTGCTTATTTTACCCTTTTAGATCTCAATGGAAGATAGATGTTCTCCATACAGGTAGCTGAAAGGAACAGGTGAGTTCATTTTGTAAGGTAGCATTTGTTGGGGCCAATGCTTTTGAGGGAATTTGTTTTTTAAGTTGTGTACATAGATAACTTTTTTCTACAAATTGTGTTCCATTTGGGTGGACTAGTTGTGTTTTTAACTTAAGTAGCCAGCTCTGAATTTACTGATTCATCCTTCCTTTCCCTCACCTGCTGGGAATTCTGATTGTGTAAAGACTTTGTTTGCCATTTCATTGGAACACAGTGTTTTTCCCCTTATGCACACAGTTATATTTTAAGGCTGTTTAGGGCCCATTTCTTGAAAGTCCTTCTAGTGGGGGTGACAAAGGCCTATTTTATATTGTAGGAGTAGTGTGGGTCTATTTTGGGGATATTTTGGCTGTTTGAATCTAAAAAAAAATATTATACAATAGCTTTGAATGTAAACATGGCAAACAAAGAGCTGTTTGGGGCCAGTTACTACTAGATTGTTTGGGAAATGACTCCAGGGTTATGTAAGTGAACCTTGAAGAACAGTGGAACACTAGTCAAAGCCAGGATGATGATAGTCAGCCTTGTTCGCAGTTTCCACCAGAAAGATCATTGCATCTTACTGATGGTTTTAATTCCTTGGATGTCTGACTGGTTTAGATGATTGAAAATTATGCTATTGGGATTTTCCTGCCACTACAAGTTAATTTTTAAATTTGCTGATACCTTGTTTTATAGGCTCAAAGAGGGCTTATTACAAGGCAGAATACAAAAGTTGGTGAGTTAGGATTGATGTTGATAGAGGAATTTTTTTTTTTTTGCTGAATTTTTTAAAAAGTGTGGAATGATGTAAAAACTTTTTTCCCCATCCTATCGACAATGATGATAAACTTGCTGTCACTTTGTGGCAAGCCAGAACTGCCTGACCACACTGTAACCATTTAGTGCAGCATACTTGTTTTACCACTGGTATGAATGAATGATTCTAACCTGGAATACTTGAACTTACATTTGTAGGATGAAACTTTTCACCAAAGGACAAGAGAGCAAGCTTAATGCTGTTTTACATGTTATTATGTAGAAAGAAAATAAAATGGTTTAACTGTATTTAGATGTAAAATGGTTGATTTTTCGAGAGGAGCTTGTATTGCCAGCTGTATAAAGTCAATCAAAATCAGGTCCCTATTTAGGGCGAAGACATGCACAAAGAAAGAGCAAGTAAAATATTGTAGGGTTGCTTTTTTTCTCCTCTGCACTCTTCAAAAGGCTGGCATAGTTAAAGTACCTCTGTGCATATTTATGTGCTGAAGTGGGAGTGTTTTTATTTTTTTTTTTTTAATGTATAGTTTCAATTTTTTGGGTTTTTTTTTTTTTTACCAATTGTTTTATTGTGCAGTTCAGCAAATATCAAATGAAATACTTCACCTAATGGAGACGGTTTACTATAAATTGGGGCACTTAGATCCATTTCTTTTGTGGTTCCCGAATCAGTCAATTAAATTTATGTTTGCCCCAATGCGGTTCGACTTAATAGTGCATTCCAGTAGACAAACAAAACTACAATCAGATCACCTCAGTTGTGGTGACTGGCTCAACTCTAAGTTGTAAAATCATGCGATCTCTTAATATTACAATTATTATTTGTTGACTAAACTATTCGAGTTGCCATGCAAGGGATCGAAAAGAAGATCCTAATTATAGTGCTCATGAAATTGTGGAGTAGCGACTCGATCTTGTCTCTCAGTGACGCACGCATCGGTGACCTGTCAGCGATATCAAACAATCGAGCACGCGCCACTTTTGGAGGTATTCGGGATTGTATCAGACCTTGTCAATGACGATCCGGAAACTCCGTAGAACGCGACAAACATTTGTTTAGATTAGGTCTGGTCGTAAACTAGGGCTCCCCCGAACCAGAAACTATATTCATATGATCAATATTAATTTTAAGTTCCATTTGAGCAATACATAGTTTAGTGGTAGACCTAAAGGGAACGGGGTCAAGCTCTATCTGGCCATTAAAAATGGGATGTTACTGTTAGCCATTTTTCTGCACATTGCATTAATTTTTAAGTGTCTCATCTGTAGAAAGGAAGACAAGTGTTGGCTTTGATTTAAAAATAGTGTAATGTCCAATTGCGCCTACCCTTCAGTCCCAGAAGAGCAACTTTAGATATCTTTCGGTAAACGAGCGGTTACCTGCCAGTCGATTTAGAAGACAGAGTGCTAAACGAAAAAAAATTCCCACGGTATTAACGAGCACTTTTCATCTAACTAATTAATTCTTGTTTCCTCTTTACCATATTCCCACCAATGGCGTAGCTCTATTTTCTGCCTGTAAACCCACACACAACCCACAATTCCTCCAATCGCTCTGACGAAGGGCTAACGCTCAAAACGTCAGCCTTTAAACTCTTTACGGTGGCTAATTTACGTTTTCAACTCAGTTGTTAACACTAATTTAACAAATACCTTCGTTGGTCATTGTCTCAGAATATTTTTCTGGTTCCTAAAGGAGTGTGTCTTGTTATTGGAATTTTTTGCGAACATGAGCATAAAACTGTGTCCAACTTGTGGGATAAAGACCGGAATAATGTAAGGGTTGTTTTCTGGTGCTGGAGTCGTGCGTCAGTTTTAATTAAAAAATTGCGTCGTGATCGAACTTGGCCATGATAGGAAACGAGTTGAAAGATTTGGGGGCGAACCGTTTTTACTAAAAGGGACAAAATTGCAATGCGCCTCATTCCTCTTCGCCGCTCTTTTCCCTATGTGTTACGCCTAGCTTGCAGGTAAACGAAAGATTATCATAAAGTTACATCATGTTGATAATGATTTTTCCTGAATCCTTTGCCTTTGTTGGTTTTTGTCTTTTGTCAACAACTGTTAAGGTTTTTATTGGCTATATCCTCCGAGATTTAGATTTACAAGATTCCGAGGTTCTAACTCGTCAAAAAGAAACTATCCGTTCTCGCGGACAACAACTACTTTCGAAGGCTTAAACTCAACTCTAGTATATGAAAGCTATGCGTGTGTCAATAAACACGCCCTTTGATGAGATAAGCAGTATTCGGTTTCAAGCTAGGTTCTAATTAAAAAATGAAAAAAAAATATTCGTAGTGTTGAGTTCTTAAGGTTCGCAAGGTTCAATTTTTAAGGTTTACAAGGTTCAGTTCTGAGACTCGTGATCCGTTTCTTCAGAACAACCGATAGCACAAAATCTATGAGATTTTATGGGAAATTTTTTTCGGTGAATCTGTAGAGTCGTCTTTCAAAGTTGTTGCTAAAATGAAATATAACCTGAAAAGAACTCTGTCACTGAAAACCAAAAATGTATATTTTCAGTTCCAAGTTTGGTTTTTGTCGCGACCTTCTTCGTTTGAAAAAGGAACAATCTTTCTTTCAATGATCTACTCTAAAATTAAAGTTGCATCAGGTATCGTGAATTTTTCTAAGGTACCCCATGGACTGATCTTTGTTGTCTTAATTAGTTTTTGTTTCATTTATTTATTTTCCTTACCACAAATCTCGCCATCGGCACCACAAATAGCGATAATATCCAAGTATTTCCTTCCCAACGCATATTAAATATACATATTAGATATCGTTTCATTAAGTTTAGAATATAATCATATCACGGGCGACAAGAGATTAAAATCTGTTGAGGGCAAGTTCTCGTTGAGCCAATTAATAGAGATTTTACCAGCCTTTATTTGTTTTGCGGGGTGTTCCTTTCTTTTCGGACATTACAGGAAAACCGCAACAGTTTCTTTTCTAGTTTGCCGAGCTAGCTTACAAATATTTTACTGATATCTAATTACCTCATTTCCTCGAATAAGCGCCCACGCTCCAATAAGCGCCCTCCCCCTAAGCCATAGTGTCAGAGTGTCAGGCAAGAGCCCCTCTCGAATAAACGCCCACATCTCCTCGCTTACTTTCTCAGATAGAAAGGATATGAGGAAAACCTGTTTCTATTGCCATTTTTTTAAGCCTCAACCAAAGAGGAATCAGTGCAAGAGAATGATAAGCGCTCCCCTCGATTAAGGGCCTTCCTTGCAATAAGCGCCCCTCCTTTGAGCTGAAATTTCAAATAAGCGTCCGGGTGCCTCTTCGAGGAAATACGGTATGTTGAAGACGCCTTTTCATGAGCTGTCGGTTTCGGTTAAGATTATCACCTTCACGTGAAATTGTGAACTAACTTTCTCTCACACGTGCCTTTTTCTTTAGCAAAAATATACTTAAACATGGGCATCATTAATTTGGTGTTTGTGACTGAAGCGTCACCGCTGTCTCAAAAAGGTCCCATTAACTTAGTGGCATTGTCTAAGTAATATGATTAGCAGGTTCACCCGTGGCACCTGTAACCTTGATGGGAAAATACCAGACCAGAATTGAAATGAGCATGTGATGAAGGGAGGAGTCTGCCACAGACTGAGTAAGTGAGTGATGTGTCTTAGACTAACTATGGAACAACGATTCCAACTGTTACAGTTCGACCAGACAACAAAAGACCATTTTTGCTTTGAGAATTCTTCCATGCTCTTTACTTGGTTAGTATCGAAGTCTTTGCAAGCTGCACTCCACAGATGACCATTTGAAGTTGAGTTAACCAGAAATGTTTGCCCCCAAATTTCATGCGACGACAAATTTCTGTTCGGGCACTATTAAAAGCACAGAAGGTTAGGGTGTCATTAGGGCGTGTCGCGCGGCGATTCCCCGTGTCTGCAATATTTCAGCTCAATTTAATCTCCTTGGTATTAGACGAGTTAAAACATTTACGTCTAGATTATTTCAGATTTTAAAATCTCCATATCGGATGTACGCGGACACCTGTCAAAGTTGAATGACACGATGAATTGTGTGTCCCTTTGCGGTGTTGATCGCTTTGGGCGTTTTCGTGCTAGTTTTGCCAGATCAACAGCTGATATGTTAAATTATCTTCGTTGTCTTTTTTAAATCGTGCAATCTAACTTGCTAAGAATGAGGGAAGGTTCATTTGGTGGCAAAGGCCTCCAGGATTCCAGCTGCAACCTGGTCGCTCTTGTGAACCGTCTGAGACAGATTAATTAGAGTTC